GCATTCACCAACAAGTCAGAAGTTGTGCAACACCTCATTCTGCATGTAAATGAAATCAAGAACACTTAAGCATGTAGAGCAGTGTATGTGCAGGGTACTGAAATCCCATATCAGACCGGATGATATACGTTTTCCCTAGCAAAGCCCAAGCTGCACGAAACATTTTTGCTTACAAGGAATTCAAACTGCGTTAGATGTGCAAGTGCTTGACTACGGTAACGGCAGCAGCGGCGCTGCGACCATCGTCGTTTGCGAGAGCACAGCGCAAGAGCGTGCGCGCAAGGGAGACGCAGTGCGGCCGCTCTTCTCCGGTGCTGATCAGCTGGGAAAACCTCTGTCTTTCATTGTCTTTTAGTCTTATCCAATGAGTCAGGTTGTGTCATAGCGCGCAAATATATGGCCACATACGAGATGACTATTGATTGTTTCGGTAGCGATAGTGTTTGTGTGGATTTATGCGGTAATCGGATTGTTACACTTAATCTTGATTACAGGGAGAGTTTATTTTGTGTATACTACATGACCTTTCTCAGTTTTGGTCTTTGCGACGCTTAGCAAGCTTTTGACTTCCTTTTTATTGTATCTTTAATTCTTCATCTCTGTTCTTCCTTATAAGCTTTGAGACTTCCATTCTTTTTATCCTCACTACTCCCTAGCTTTAGATTTGCTACCGAAGTTGAGAGCGTGTCGACGCCTCCAAATAGCTCTTCGTTTTTTGCGCTTCGCTGGAAATCGATTTCGGCGCCAGTTCCTCCTAGGTTTGCTTGCAATTTTCTGTCTTTGGGCACAAGTGTGTAATGCAAATCGATCAAGTTTCCTGTTTAATTGCGGAACTACTCACTGTTTCCTCTTCTGAGTCAGAATTCTAGTCTGAAAATGTTGGGTGATTCATAAGTGAGAAATGTTGCTGTGATTTTCTCTTTTGCGCGTCAGGCACTTTATTCATATTCTGTACACGAGGAGTGCCTTATCTTTTTCTCAAACAAGTTTTATGATTATTTATACCAGAATAAAATTGCTGTCGATAATCAGTTATGGCTATGATTATCTTATCGTTACAACCTTTTTAGTGCGATCAGAGGCCATCAGTAGAAATAAACAATGAACAGTGAACTACGACTATCAGTATTTTCTAGTCTTTCAGTAGTCTTGGGCATCACTTCTTGAACTTATGAACTTTCAGGTATAATGTGGCTCAGTGGAAATGCGCTGCAGGGCTTTCCAGAAAATCGTTTCAGTACTTTTGCTTGAAGTCTCAGGTTGCTTTCCATGATTGTAATTTGGGAGTAGTTGTTTTTCATCTCTCTTTTCTTTCTGATTTATGTATCTCCTCTGTTTTGCTTTTTTTTGCCGTGAATGCTATCGCGATGCAGAAAAAATCGAAAGATCTTTGTTTCAGGCAGCATTTCACATTTCCCTGATAAAAGTATATTACAAGCTTTTTAGTTAGACTCTTTTTTTTTAATTTCTTCCAAATCAGCGCAAAACTTGAGATATTAGATAATTTCCCGTTAGGCCCCGGTCAGACTTCACGCGACTTAATCGTCGCGACCAAATCGCCAAGATTTCCATTCATTTTCATTTCACATTCAAAAATTTCAGTCTGGAAAAGTATTACAACCGAATGCAAGTTGATCTGCATGGAATGATGTTGTAACAGTTGTCTCCTCGCGATTCAGTCGCGACGATCAAATCGCGTGAAGTCTGCCCGGGGCCTTAAGCGTTTTCTCGTATCCCCCATTTCCATCGACAAGTACTGTACGTAGTTCTATACGATTTTTCCCCCGAGCACCTCTTCCGTACGTCGTTTTGAATGCAAAATGTATGAAAAATTCGTAGCGCAGCACTTATGTGGTTGATGACACATGAGAGGCGGCAGTATTGTACTGTCGCCATCGTTTACTTTGTCTCGCATCGCGCTCATATAGAGAGACGTGCGGTATTCTCTTTCTCTCTCACTCTCTACATATTGATCGACCCGCAGGATTTGCCCTTACTGACCATAAATGTACTGGATGGATTTTTATTCCATGCACTAATTGTATTTCGTAATTTACAGCCATCAGAAGTGCTCTTGTACGAGCGGGGGCTCTGCTGGCTTATTAATATTGAACACATCCAGCTGATTCTATAATTTTATTCTTGCTTTTGGTCAAGATGAGTGCAGGCTGAGCGTAAAACATGCTTGGCAGTAGCTTCCGTAGCTAAAAACATGTTCCCATACCAGGCGCACGTCTTCCGAAGATTCGATTAGTGCAAAGCTTCCTACTCATGACAATTGTACTGAGCCTGTCTGCGTAGGAAAAGCTACCAAGGTTTCGTTTTGGTCTCGGAATCATGTGCCTTTAATCATTAGCAAACCTTGAGGTTGAAATTTGTCTTGAGATAGGTTTTAACGTCAAGGTTCGTTGATGAGGCCACTGAAGAGGTTTTAACGTCAAGGTTCGTTGATGAGGCCACTGAAGATCACCAACTGCCATTAGAGTCTGCTTTTTTCACATCACAAGTAATTAAGTTTATTGCTGCCTTTCACGATTGGCCTGATACACTTTGTTCGCAAAGCGAGGTGTCTATCCGACTTGGTGCAGTTGATTACGCGATTAACCCACATTAGTGCTCATCAATGCCCCTGATACCAACCAAAGCGCACCACAGTTCCTATTGTGATTATTTTGGTATTGGTTTTATCATTTTACATCCAGTTCCGAAATTTCACCATTATAGATCTCAATATCGTTCCTGCAAAATGTTCCTTGTGTGCGTAACGTCGCCGCTCTAGCTTCAATTATCGGTTGCACGCTGAAGAGGTTCTGAAGCCATGTCATTAGCCGTCTGTTTCGGGGACACATCTGTCATCGCGTAATGGAACTGCTGCTAGCTTTTGGAATGCCTACTCGAACACTGAGAGAAAAAAATGCCCGCCATGGACTCATCCACAAGATTCCTCTTCTCCCATGCAGAGATTGTCAAACAAATGCACCAAATAATATACCTCCAGTTCGGATGCACTCAACCCAAGCAAGGTTTGTGAACGGAGGTGGGGGGGGGGGGTGGCTGAAGGATTGCGTAGACCTCTTTCGGCTTCTCGACAGATGCGCATATAACGCGTCACGCCTACAGACTGACTTCTGCATCTCTTCGACATTAATCATTGCTTGCTATGCTTACATTCATCTTGCATAAAGTAAGTATTCAATAGAAAACAGACTAAAATATCTATCGTCTTGAGGCTGTTTTGCGGAGGCGCAGTTGGCGAATGTTCTGCAGTTCCTACACAGAACCTCCATCAGTAAATTTTGACCGCGGAAATTTTGCGTTAGTTTTTGTCAGGCCTGGTATTATTGCTATGCTGTCAACATGTATACCTATAATGCTTCGGACAATTGTTGACCACAATTAAGGTAGTGCAGATTTTTCCTAGATTTGTGGCGGATCTGTATTACCTTGAATGTGGTCATGGAATGTCCGAGGTGTATTGATAGTATGTACTTCACCCGACACCTTTTTGCGTAATTTCCATTCCGGTCCCACTGCTGTTTAGAGCTGAGTGCTCGCTAGTCAATTTCACAGCACATCGACAAAGAACGGGGAATATCCTCGAGAAAGCCTTGCTTGCTGCAGTCGAATGTGCTCCAAGCAAGCTGTTCTCATATGTTCAGCGTAGTCCTTCGCTAGATGGCAGTTGTTTTTTTTTTTCAAATTTTGCGTATGAAACAGGAACTTAAATTCCTTCAAGTACTTTCGATTTTCAAAGTTTTTGTTCCGCTCGTTAAACTTTAGGATTCATTATATGGTTTTTCTAAGATTCATCTCCTCGTTTGCTCAACTTTCCCTCATTTTCCGGTCACGATCTCTGCTAGCCTTCAGTCCCATGTTTGGTTTTGTCTACTGCAAGGAATCCAGTTTCGATTGGTGAACCCATGGTTTCCGGTCTTAGCCCGTAGGGTACATGCAAAACAGTGTCAAATAAACAGACAGTTCTTATACCCTTTCGCTATATCGTCTGTCATGGGCTTGTCGATATATCGATTCTGAAAATAAATCACCACTAATGTTTGTGAAACATGCATTACGTCATGAGAAAGTGATTTGCTCCTGAATCAATCAATAAATATTAAGTGCAAAAGCGCTTACCCCCGCCCTTGTTGTACTTCAGTGAATGTTGTCTTCATTAGCATGAATGAATTGGTGTTTGTTTCATTAATTTGATGAATATACGAATTCTCCAAATTGTGCCTTTTTTGACGGCACCATTTTGAATTTTAACGGCTTCATTAATAAAGTGAGGGGGAGAAGGGTTCACACATCTCTCTCTAGACCCTATTCTAATGTCTTTTTTATTGAAGGGTTAAATACTGTAGCAGTGTACGCAAATGTATGCAAACCAACTGTATTCTTTTCCTTCGAAGCCTTCTGACTATTTCAACGAAGCTGACTAAGCCTGATCTTGTACAATGCATCGAAGAGCCTTTTTTCCACAAAATCAAGCCAGCGTGGGATTAGCGCGCGCATACGCATTCAGTTTTTCTGCTCATCACCTCCGCGCATACGATCTTAGTGGAGCAGAAAATTAGATTAATCGGGACATCTGTATTCGTTTTGATCCGTCGATATGTATGATTGATGAGCGTGAAAATTTTTTTGAACATTTTTGTTTAACTCAATAGTGTTTATCATTAGTTGTTTAGCTTTTAAGATTTTTCTTCAAATTAATTCGAAATAGTTTATTCGACAGCATGAAGAATCTTCTTTACGAGGCGTTAGATGCAAAGGGAAGCGTGACACGACCCTAATTGGCGAGTACTTATAGTTTTTTGCGATTTAGGATTATTCTGCTTTCACTATGCACTACTCCAGCCTTTCATCATCTTGCCTGATTTAAGCAACTTTTCCTTCGCTCAGCCATCATTATGTTGTGTATTTTCTACTTATTACATGATTATTTTTAAAATCTTCTCGAATGTTTCGTTCTCATTCCAATTATCCGTTCAAATTTCCCGTGGATTCTCTATCTATCTTTTTTTAGCTCAAATTTGGTGCTGTTAGAGAACGGGTATTCTCTCGAATACGACGCCCTGTGATTGGAAGTAACGACTTGTGTCAGTAAAACAAAGGTGGGAGGCATGAAAATGAACCTCTCTGATAGGCAACGGGAAGAAATGTGAGTTTTGTTATATGTAGCTTTTCTTTCTTCTACTTCTTATGTCTTTTTGTTTCCCTAGCTCTTCTACTAGCACATATTCTTTAAAAATTTATCGGCTCGCTTGGGTACCACACAAGAGCTGCTTTTGTGTTTGCACAGGGAGTGCATTGATTGTGTGTGAATTTGTGCGGCCGCCAGCCCAGAGGCCGAGACTCTTCAGCCCGGTCTTGCTGGCGTAAGCATGAGATGGAAGGAGGAGGATCGAGTGTCGTCCTCTCGCCGCTCCTTTCGTCAAGATTAGCGGACGATTATGCTGACAGCGTCTTGAGTTTTGGCAGTAGCATCTGGTTTATGGCAGAAGAGCCAATGGAGGATAGCTTACTCAGGCTATATGCAGTTGTATGGAGGCGTTCTGATAAAGTGGTAAAAAGATGGGTTACAATAGCTCTGTTTTTGGGAATATAGGTTTTTTAATTCAAAGGAAGTACAGTTTGTTTTGACTTCTGTACTTCAAATGAGTTTGTGTAAATTGAGTTAATGAATTTGAAGAGTGTTACGTACCAGGACAAGATTCTGTTTGCCGTTAGCCATTTTCGGTTTTGGGTCTCTTGAAATCGTACCTGATTTTCATTTATCTAGTCAAGCAATATGTTCAGTTTGGGACTTTTGTTACGTTGCAAATAAAATTAATGAAATAACACACATTTCCACAAAATCTAATGAATTAATCTTTGAAAGCTTTTTTACATATTGAAGGTTTTTTCATTGAGAAGCATCGCGATAGGATATTTTTTCTGAGTGGCCTTTACCCTTTTTTTGATTTCGTTACAATAACAATTTTGTGGCAAACAATTCTCACCAAAATCTTCGGCCTTCTATGTGATTGTGTTGAATGTAAAGGTTTAGGCAGTCAAGGCTAACGGAAGTGTGAAAGTGTTAAAGTTCTTTTGGCACGAAATGCTTCAAAACATCTTCCTGATGCTGTCAGCCAACTCTAACAAACTAGCGCTTTCACCTCAGCCTCAGAGCTGCAAATAGTTGCGACGATCTTGACGGGGTGGTGCGGTCTTGGATACATTACATGTCAAAGTTGCTAGTATATTTCTTTTTTGTTTCTTGATGAAGGCAGGTAATGAGGTTGCACTAGGTATACTCGATGTTTTTCTCAAAGAATGTCAACCTTGCTGTGTATGTAGGTGGCTGCTAGCTCCAGTGTTTAGGCGCGAATAAAAAGTGTCATTTAAGAGGCAGAACTTTAGCTAGATTGACTGCTAAAATGGAATTTAAAAAGTGGAAAATGCATGCATTATCGATCCAACTATTGCATGAGGGTTGGAATGCATATTGCAATCTCGTTCCACTCGTGCGCCTTCAAGTTTTTCCGAATCCGTCAGCCTCCGGTGCTGTCAGAATGATGCTGCTCACTTCAGATGAAGTGTGTTGCATCATTTGCGTCAATTTTATTACTTGCATGCGCCGCTGTGAGGAGAGTAGGCGGCAGCCAGGAGGCAATGAGAAGGGCATTGCGTGCGCGCGACAGAGGCAAAACAATTACGGAGCGTCAGCCATTTCGAGAAACGAAATAGCGTCGCGTCTCTCCAGATGTTAGCAAGAGGGAAGAATGCATCAAGCTTGAATGTTGTTTGGTGAGGGAACTATCTCTTTGAAATTAGTACGGTCGCAGGAGTTGTTCATGGTTAGTTTACTTCTTGTGCCATTGAGTACACTGTGTAACAGTTAAACATTTTTGATCACTGAGGATCAAAGTTGAATTGCGTTAGGATTATGTTTCTTAACACTAAATGCTTTCCTTTTCGAAAATTTGGACGCTATCAATTGTAAATAAGTTTTTTTTTCAAAATTTTCTCAACATTTATGAGGGAGGGTTCATAGTAATCGTCCAGCACTGGTTCGAGATTTTAAGTGGTGGATTACAAGGGGTAGTTTTTTCAAAGGAGGCTTCCATTTGTGATTTTTCAAAGGAGGCTTCCATTTGAGGACCCAAAGCCTCAATTTTGGAAATGAGCGTAGCGGCAAGTGCGTCCCCCACATTTTTTTCACACAACCAACCTGAATTTCAAATTATTTTTTTATAAATCGTCTTAATCTTTCAGGTAGAAACAAGTACTGTCACATATCAGAATCCATGTAGGCAGAGTGTATCAGAAGGAAGAGAAGTTGTTGTTCTATTTATGAAAAGCATTTTCTCCCCCCCCCCCCCCATTCACAAATGAGTATTGTTCTGGATCAAAATTAGACTTTTTTCTACTGTGTCAGCATCAATTAGTAGTTTCACTTTTTTGAGGGCAATTTAAAACTGATGATGGTGGGCAATCCGACTGTTGCGAAATACAGCAGTGAACATCAGGGGACCTACGTCAATACAAAGTTATGACGGTTCGACAAACATACTAAGGCCTTGCAAATGCCTCAGCAAACATTCTTTTTGTCAAAAGACTTTGGATAGAGCTTCTGCCTCTGGGAACGAATGTTAGAAGGGACGTGGGTGTCATAGTGTTTGGTTTCTATCGTGATGGTTGAGCTTATCCATCCCTTTTCGTGTGATGAGGTCATAAAAGACCTTTTTCAGCCAGTTACATGCCCATAAACTTGTGCAAAATCGATAGTTGCGAAACAGATGACAGACAGAAACTGGTTGGCCGCGATTTCAAGAACACTTGCTGGATCTAGCGTATCGACTAGGCTGGCCTCTTTTTTCATAGTATAATGTGTGTTTTGCCAGTCAACTGCGTAAATGAAGAATAAGCCCATATAATGTGAAATATACGAGTCCCTGAATTTGGTTGCGGTGATCAAAGGTTGTGAGCGTAAGGTGCTTTCAATATTTTGGTCTCTTGGACGAAGGTGGAGAACGTTAGTGGTGATATGTCGCTATAGCCAGCATCATGCTTTCCTTGAAGAAGAACTTGAGGATTTTTAAATGGACAGGCCCAAATTTGAGTCATCTCAAATACGGTGCAAGGCGCACCATAGTTGATCCACTTCATCCACTCAGTCCACTTGATCCACTTCGCTATTGGTTGTATTAGTGAACCGACCAATAGCAAAGCAGGTGTCCACTATAACCGCTTCATCGACCTCGCTATTGGTCAGTTCACTATTTCGATCAATTGTGAAACTGGATTAAGCAAATCAGCGGAATAAGTATGGCGTGTGGCGAAGACGTAACCCTGCATTAGTTTTCTCTGCATCTCGTCATATAAATGATATTTTCAGAAACCGTGCTGTTGCCGACTACTTACAGAACTGCGGTTACTTGGAATCATTACAAATTTTCAAGCAAGAAGCTAGTTTAGTGAGTGGACTTTCCTCCTGTTTTTGGGGGCATTATTGAACCCTATCATCGCTGGGTCTATTGTTATTTTTATTTTTGTTCGCATTTTCCATTTGTTGACTGCACTTGTTTTTCTTTGTATTTGAAGACTTACAAAAGACAAGTGGATTTTCGTAAATCCACAAATGTTGGTTTATACTCTTATCGGTACAATCTGGGCATTTAGAGCGAAAATGATCACAAAACAATGAGCGGAATGCTTGAAAAGAAGTGGACGTCAGTACTGCGACTACAAAAAAAGGTATGCGTTCAAAATGTTGTTATTCGAACATTTTCTTCAATCTCTTATCAAAGAAATGCATCAGATTGATTAAGGTGAACGATCTCGAAGCAAAGCTAGCGGAAGCAGAAAAAGAAATAAGTCATGGAGCGCCGTCTAGGCAAGTTATCGTATTTTGGTATTTGATTCCCGTTTTGTATGATGTTTTTTGTGAAGGACGTAGAAGTTGCAAAGTAGTCCACCTATCCTTGCGGCTTTGGCTTATTCTGAGGCTCTTTAGAGAGAAGCGACAACCTGCAGAGTGGATTCCGCGTCCTCCAGAACGCTTCGCTTTAACTGGTCATCGAGCACCAATCACTCGTGTGGTGTTCCATCCGGTATGGAGCGTAATGGCTAGCTGCAGTGAGGATTCCACAATTAAAGTGGGTTTTACAATTGGAGGTTAGATGTAATCTACTTCTATTCCTGCGTTTTCAAATCGACTCTCTAGATCTTATTTGTAGCAGTGAAAACGTACAGTCGAGTAGATTTCCTGCTTAATATAGTGTCCCTGCAGACGCGACAACGCTGGGGCGTCAATAAATGCCTTGCGAGTTCCCGAGCTAGTGTTTTCCAGTGTTTTCTCTGCTTATTTCATGCTTTTTAGTTGATTCGTTGCTGATAAAGAGGAAAAGGGTAGGTTAGAGTGTAGTTTCTGTTTTCTAGAAGTTCTATCATGGCATATTCACAGATATCCACATGGAAGCAGTTCGCGTCAGCTTCTAGTCTATTTTTTGTCACTTCATGTCTCTTTCTTCTTGTGAGGTACTCCTTTGAACGCTAGTGGGTTTTACGATTGACCTATTGTCTTTATCACACGAAGTACTTGATTAAAATGCTATTTCTTGTGGATAAAAGCCGAAGTTGCTGCAAGACAAGCCAACTAGCGTTCAAAGAAACGCCTCGCAAGAAGGAAGAGGTTTGAAAGAAGAAGTGACAGAAGAAAAGGAAATGACAAAAAAATAGACAAGAAGCAGACGCGAAATGCTTCCACGTGGATATCTGTGAATATGCGGTGATAGAACTTCTCTGAAAACAGAAACTACACTCTAACTTACCCTTTTCCTCTTTATCAGCAACGAATCAACTAAAAAGCATGAAATAAGCAGAGAAAACACTGGAAAACACTAGCTCGGGAACTCGCAAGGCATTTATTGACGCCCCAGCGTTGTCGCGTCTGCAGGGACACTATATTAAGCAGGAAATCTACTCGACTGTATTTCCAGTCCACCAAATTCTATTCTCAGAGTTCTCAAGTGTTCTGTGCTTATTCCCTATTCTCAGCTTACGTCAAATAAGTGACCATGTTCTTTGTAACAAGCATTGCTGTACCACGCAGTGAATGCCCATTAGTATTCTATCTGCCTTGTAATGGCTTTGTACTTTTATCATAGCAAGGCTGATTTTCATGTTTGAGAGCTGAATAATCATAGGCACGGTGCTATTTGAACAAAAGTCTCAAAGAAAAGGCTAAATTAATGAAATTTTCATCTGTTTTTTTACAGATATGGGACTACGAAACTGGAGAGTTTGAACGCTCTCTGAAAGGGCATACAGATTCAGTACAGGATATTGCTTTTGATAAGGCTGGAAAGATGCTTGGTAAGAGCCTTTTTGTGTCGTATTTCAGATTCAACATCATTGACTATTTTCTAGTGTCTTGCTCGGCTGATATGTCAATAAAAGTCTGGGAATTTGGAGGATCATATGCATGTGTAAAGACATTGAAAGGACATGACCACAACATATCGTCAGTGTGTTTCCTGCCATCGGGTGATGCTATTTTATCCGCAAGCAGAGATCACACTATCAAACTATGGGAGGTGCGTTATAAAATGATTCTATGTGGATTTTTTCATTTCTTTACGCAATCATACCTATATATGTTAATGAGTGAATTTTTGTTTGAAACTTATCTGCAGTTAATTAGCATCTTACACTGGCATGTAGTGTACAAAAATTCCTAGGCTGAAAGTGAACATAGCAGATCTGTGCTGGTAACCGTAAATAGTGCCTTTGCGGTGCCAAGATTGAGCAGCAAAACTTGTGCGTGAACAAATTGCGCCTTGTTTGCCGGCATTTTGCACGCGCTTAGCTGAAGACAAGCTTCTGCTTCACCCCGCTAGATGGTGCCATCTGTTTGACAGATTATTCATTCGCTGTGCACACGTCTAAGTTCTCAAAAAGTGTATTATTTGAGTTGGGTCTTATTATCAGCTGCTTTTTTAGACAATTTGAAACAGCGTGCGTCTTACGTCATATATCATACGAGAACTTGGCACTATGCAAAAGTACTCTCAAGTTTTCTTCATGCGCGGGTATTAGTTGTGCAGATAGTTGTTGAATGCTCAAGTATATTTTTTACAAAACTGCTTGATCAGTTTTTCGTAAAATCGCAATAAAACCATCATTTGAGGTTGCTTCCGGTTATTGTGTACACACATTCCGAGGACATTCCGAATGGGTACGAATGGTACGAGTCTCACCCGATGGTGCACTTTTTGCATCGGCCAGCAATGATCAGGTAATTACATAAGCAAGTGCATTTTTTTGTCTCTTTGTGCCCGTCGTGCGAATAATTTGTTGAAGCGCAGTTTTCGAAGGGGCAGAGGTTGAGTGTGTCTATTTCCAGTCTCCTACACGATTTCTCACCTGAATTAGTCTATGCAATGAAGTCTTGATATTCTATTTTCAGTCCATAATTGTATGGGCACTACAGTCAAAAAGTGTCAAAGCCACTCTACGCGAGCACGAACATGTCGTCGAATGCGTGGAATGGGCTCCGGATTCTGCACTAGCACCCATCAGGACTGAGGGTTTGTCTCAAATTGCATTTTCCATGGCTCGTGATTCAACAAAGTCGTTCGAACGACTGATTAGTGGACATTATACATCGTTGTTTGTATTTTTTCTTGTATGATGGATAGCTTTCCTTTGCAGCGGGTCATAAAGCAAATGGTGATCTTGGCGCTGGGCCAACGCACGTCGTTGTGAGCGGTTCGAGGGATAAAACGATCAAGGTAAGTATCAAATAGTACAACGCATGTGCATAGAGCATCTGAATGACTACGATGCAACGTTTGGTGTGGTTTAAACTTACGAATTCTATGTATTTTACAATCAGATTCCCATATTACTAGTCAACACGAGCACTTGTGGGAGTTAAAGAGTTCATGAAAATATCAGTGCCTTTATTTTCATTTAGGTCTGGGATGCGCTGTCAGGCACAGTGCTATTTTCGTTGATCGGACATGATAATTGGGTTCGCGGATTACGTTTTCATCCACGTGGTAAATTCTTGGTATCGGTGGCAGATGATAAAACACTACGAGTTTGGGATCTGGCGCAACGACGCTGCGCTAAGACTATCGATGCACATCAACATTTCGTTACAAGTGTTGGTAAGTCGAATTTTATCTTCTAATACAGATTTTGCGTTTACGTAGTTTCCTCTTTTTCTTAGCTTTTCTTTATTTTTTCTTTTGTTGTAATGAGTTTTACGATAAACTAGTCTACTTTTTTCCATCAGTAATTTTACTCAGCTGTTTCAAGACATGTGATTTCTCCTTATTCTGTCTAAACGGCCGAACTCACAGGAGAAATGTAGTCAGTAAAGCAATTTAGTTAGCGTTCATATACAATTATCTCAAGGACCGGGCATACATCACGAGATTTCATTGCATCGCGATTCACACGGCTAGACGACTGTTACGAATCATCCTGCATTCGCGTCGAAAAACTGTCACAACGAGAATGCAAGATGACCAGCATGCAATGGACTCGTAACAGTTGTCTTGTGGGAAGAATCGTCAAGACATGACATAGTTCACGCGATTTCATCGCCTTGCGATTCCTTCAAAAGACAACTGTTACGAGTCCGCTGCACGCAGTTCATCTTGCAACTCGGTTGTGGTAGTTTTCCAACACGACTAATTGTGACCAACTATCAGGAACGAAATGCAGGGTGATTGACATGCAGTGGGCTCTCAACACTTGTCGAAAATCGCAAGGCAGAAGTCGTGTGAACTATGTCCGAGTCCTAAGCGACCGAATCGCGTGATGTATATCGGCCCTCTACATGACATATCGCATTTGATTTAGAGTGTGCTCGACGTCATAGTTTCTTTTGCAGATTTCCACCCTACTGCACCGTATGTGATTACCTCAAGCGTCGATCTGTCATGTAAGGTATGGGAATGTCGATGAACGAGTGTATTGCTGCTGCTTATGATTTATCAGAACAGTACCTAATTCTTTACTGGCTTTGCTTTTGTGGCTCTTTCCAATGCTCCCAAGAAAAAAATTACGGCTACGGTAAGATATTTATGTAAAAGGGATATATGTGTGCAGCTAAGCGTGGTAGAATTTTCACACGCTGGTCGTGGTTCATTTCTGACTGGCGCCGAGAATAACTGCCACTCTAAGTTGCCCGCACAAAACAGTCAATTGGTGAAGGCGCTTATTCACCGGCTTATTGTGTGACCTCGTTGTATGCGCTATCTATGTTACCCCCATTCGTGCTCTCCCATATTTTCGCACCGTTCATTCACCAATACGTCTATACAGTATACTATTTACGTAGGGTATCATCGAATGTTTATCATTATGCGTATTCTCTCTCTATCTGTTCATTTCTCTCAAAGATATTTTTTGAAATTTTTTGAAAGTTACGTTCAAAGATAATTTTTTCTATACACTGTGCTTTCGTGTACGCCACCGTACTCCTATGTGAGTTGTTTTTTCTTCCAGTCTTTTGCAGCTTATGACTTTTGGTTTCCGATTATTTTTGCGCTTACAGTGAATTGAAAGAGTCTTATCATCATACATAGTGAAGAAAGTGATTGCAGCTGTTCATTATATGCTGTGAGCGCAATCTCTGCTAGTGACTATATCAGTTTGTGCAAATTGTCGTAAATATGCTAATCGCTATGTGCATGTGTGTTAATTTTCTATATGTTATCGATTGCCTGCTAGCAAGGTGTCTAACAGTTTCCGGTTATGCTAAATCCCAAAAGGCGTGATGTTCAGGTGACAAAACGACTTTTGCATTATTCTTTTTCTACTCGTTTTTGTTCCGAGTTGATGTTTGCGTTCTAGTTTCTATGCTAATAATTTTTTTCGTGTGTTGTGTCGCTTATACTGGCGATGTTGCACATTGATTTCTGTGAGTAGGTAGTATTTAAAGCACCAAATTCTCTAGCACTCTTTTCAATCTCGCTGATTGCTGACTTTTGTGACAGTCATGCGTGTGCGCGCTTTCTTCCGCAATTGCGGCCACGCCTATGCACACGGAATCCTGTCTGTTTCTGAAGAATCTGTACGATTGTTACATTTCTCGCTCTATATACTCGACAAGTGTTTATCTTGTGTTGTATATGAAGGAACTTGACCACACGTACTTGAACATATATGATTTTTCCATTGAAAAAATTCCTTTCCAATGAATTAATTGATGTGATAGATTATCTCCCATCATTGATGTGTATGTGTCAGCTTTCAGGCTGTTCAGCTTATTCTTTTTTTCTTCTGATAAATCTATGCTTGTCTTTTTTGTTGAGTTCACATATAAATATACACAGTTATGTGGCACATGGGAAGCGAAAGCGGAGGTTAGATGAGGATGGGGGAGGGTTAAGAATTGTGGCATAAGAGTAGAGAGCCTTCGCCCATGGTGATAAGATTGTACCGGGGTAGGCGCAATATGTCGCCGAAAGTGGGAGGGCCAGCGGACAATGCAGCAGATACTCACCTGTGCATGTACTGGAAAGTGTATTTGTTGCAGATGTCCGGCGAGACCTCCCATTTTCGACGACATACAGTCCCCTTACCCTAAGAAGACAATAGCCTGATAATCGGGTGACTTTCGAGTCATTTTAGTGCTTGGAACCCGATCAGACTTAACTAGCATGGAGTGCGCTTGGCGCGTAACCCACACAAATTGATGAAAGCATTTTATTTCATTTTTCTTCCCGTTTGTGGCGCAGGATTATTCTCCTCTATTGCCCACGCAAACCTAGTTGGGGATCGCATCCTAGCAACTTGCGCAGGTGTTTATGCATGTACATCCTTCATGCTGGAATATTGCCTAGCAATGGTTACGTTATGACATTTTCACAAGATGAGAATAGGCCATATATCATCTTTGGATCGACCTTTATTCCATCTATCCATTTAATCTTGTTATCATATTCCAGGGTACACGTAAATTTCACTTCAAATAAAATCTCATAATATACTCATGGTCTGAAAGTCCCAGCTTCTTGATTAACCAAAAACCCGCTATCACCTTAAGTCATAGGGGAACAGTAGTCGGGCTGATTTTTGGGTGTTTTTTCCTTCCTTGTTGTTGCTTATATTAGAAAACTTTCTAATGATTTCGAGATGGTACTTCTCAAGCGAATCAAATAAATAGATTTGTGCTCTTACAAACTCGAACTTCATTGGTATTATAATTGCATTAGGCGCCTGTGGCAGCTGCTATCCCACTATTAGAGTCCAAAAGAATTAGTCAGACACTTTAGTTTGACAGAAAAAATTGTTCACTGCAATTAAATGGAAAATGTCTTCCTACGGTGATAAGGCGTATGAGGAATATCTGATGCGACGTGAACGAGAACAACGCAGCAATATTGCGACGCCATATAAGAAATCCACGAGATCCAAGCCAAATTCTCAGCAGCCACAGAATGCAACATTGTCAGAGGAAAAACGCGTTCAACTCAAAGGAGATGGTAGTTATGACATGTAAGCAGCGAATTAGCCCATACATACCTAAGAATCATGAATATCCACTTTAGACCAAATAATGTGTATCACTCTTCTGGATATGCTTCAAGACAATCTGAACTGGGCGAAGATCCAGTCTCCACTGTGCGCACATTACGTACGCAGCTTCGTCGTATGGCTGTTAGATGCCAGGAGGAGGACGCACCTGTAAAGGTAAGGTACTACCGCAAACTCTGTCAATTTCGATGTTGTGGCGGTTGTTAAGCAGCGATTAGAGTTGCCCGTGTGACGGCACTGTGCCGACGCCGTTCCAGCGCCTTACCGGAATCCACGTGGTTCCGTAGCAATCGAGCGTCGTTCCGGAACGGTATTAGCATAGCGTTGGCACGAACGGAGCCTTAGGAACTTTACGAATAGTGGTGCAGATTCTAGAAATTTGCACTGAGTTTGTTTGGCAGCAATTTATATCCGGTTTAGGCACATCTCTGCGAGAAAGCCTGCGATCGCCTCACGGGAGTCGAAGCAGAACTTATGTCTCTAGGTCGTCAGAAAACAAGTGCCATCCTGAGCGGTGATACGAAAAAAGCTGATTTGCTGAGTATCAAGATGGAGAAGGTGCCCAATTTCTTTCATTGCTCTCCCGCTCCCCTTCCCATACCCCATCAATCCGAATTATTGCATACTTATGCTTTTTCAGCTCAAGGAAGATGCCGTCAGGGACACCTATTCGGACCTAGTTATGGATAAGGAGGAAGTGCGTAATTGTGGAACTTGCATTTTATGTGGGCGGAGATTCCTATGCGCTGCATTGCAGATGAAGGCTTTTGGCGTGAATTCTGAATGGACACCGGTGAAACGACCTGAGCAACAAAAGCCATCTACACCTGTCCCGCCTCCTCCCAAACAAAAGTAGCCTGAGAGCTTGACACATTTCTCATTCAAATTCTTCTCTTTTATCAAGGAAGCCGAAACCTGCACCGATCACAATTAAAACGCAGACCGAAGCTCTTGAAGCCCCTCCAATAGTAGAAAAAATAGAAGAAATGCCTGAATCTCCTTCACCGGTGGGTACCTTGAATTCCACAGCTCAAAACTTTTCTTAAACTGCGAATTTAGCGTGATGTGAAGCGAAATGCCCGACTATCTGCCATTCTAGCTGCTGCCAAGCCTGATCAAGTTGAGCAGTCTGCTCAGCCATATGACAATCCGTACTCGCTTCCAGATAAAACTGGGCAAGAAAATTTTGTTCTCTTGCTGCCGTATTTTTCTTTTTTTGAGATTTTGCATTTCCATTCAGGACATGTCAGTTTTGTGGTGTAACGGCACCAGACCTCGGGATACCTAGTCGTTTGGAATATCACTACAAGACGTCCTGCCTCTTGATGACTAGATGCCGGTTCTGTTCAAAGGTTGTACTGGTAAGTCAGAAAGTTAGGCATATCATTAGGTCGTAATGCAAGTGTTTTTACCTTTTACGAAGAAAACCCTCATAATTTTCGAACAAGATTTTTCCTCGCTTTCACATCATGCAGAAAGTTGTAGCTTTTGGCTACATAAATGCCATGCATAAATGATCCAAATTTCAGGTTTTTACTTGTATTTTTAATAAACCATTGGCAAAATTTCAAGATTTACCCACCACCTTGAACTTTCGAACTGGCATTTTATTAGTATTAATGCTCCCTGAAATCAAAGAAAAAATCCAAAAAATGAAAGAAGAATTTGAGACTTTTTAGAAGATAAACTAAGAAAAGGTGTCGTCATAAGAGTGCCCATATTTGTACTGAACTCATATTCGCGAATGTGAAACGAAAACGATTCCAGTGAATAGTCCTTTTTTAGCAGATATGAGACTTTGCCAGAGGTTTTAGACCTTTCCAGAACGAGTAAAAAAACGTAACTACCTTTTGCGATCTTAGAAGGAAAGAACTATGATTAAACACTTCTTAAACATTTGAATCCATTACTCCGTTTATTTCGTTTGGTTTGCGAGCATCCCAACCATAGAATCTTTTGAAATAGAGAGGAACATGATTTTCTTACTCGGTTTGAGGTTCGTTTCATAACCATGCCTTGGGAAGGTTTTGTCATTCAGAAATTCTTTCATAGGCTCATAAATTTTCGTATAAGTACTCAAAATATTCTGACAATAAAGAGATTTGCATCACTTTCTCGGCGTCATTGCGGACATTGGTGTTCTTGTTAGCAATAGTTCAGAGACTGCGCTCAGTGCTTGCGTCACAGAATTTTAACAATGTCGTTGCTGCATCTTTATGTATTTTATTGGCATGACCCCTCCCCCCCCCCCCCAGAATTTGCATTCCTTTATGTTCAATATGCATTCGGGATTCTTCGAACATCACTGCATTCTCTTGCATCAAGTATGGTCTGTATCGCGGCATCCTTCTCATAGGCAGCCCGCGTCGCATGCCTTTCGCGCCTTCGCGCTGCCTCTGGCGCGTCTTTTACGGATAGTTACTTTTCAGTATTCTTATTGCGTTGAAACTGTAGCAGAAAAAATTCCAATGTTCAAAAAAACGCGGAAAAATCTCTAAATAGTATTTTAGACTCCCCAGCTCGACGATCACATTATAAATCGTTGTCCATTTGTTCTGGGAAATATGGTACCATGTAGCGCTTGTGGTATGGCTACAGACGCGACTGATGATGCTAATGGTGTAGGACATCCGATGTGTAGAGGTAACCCTTTTCAATCGTTTTTTTTTGTATTTTTGATCGGTACTCTAGGAAGACTTCCACCCAGTGGCGCTCGTTGGTGTCCATTATGCGCAGTTGCTGTTGACGACAACAAAGAGGTGTGGAAGGGTCGGATTTACTAATGCAACCTGGCAAAAGTTCGAAATTTTAGGCCTGGAAAACCCACTTGTCTAAGCAATGCTATAACAATCCTAGAAGAAGTGGACCTGATCTAGAATTGGATATCGCGCCGCAGATCCCGGAAAAGAAAACTCGTCCGTGAGTAAGACTTTCGAATGAAGGACAGTGACTGTAAAGCTTAAGAAAGTCTTACTTTAGAAAACGCTGTAGCCAAATCTATAAGTTAAGAAGTCTCAATTTTAGAAATTCGTCAAAATCGACAAAGGCTGTCAGCGGCGCCCGATTGATAGATGCCGATAAACTTGTGGCAGCCTTACAGGTAAAATCACTGGATTTGAGATTTTCAGCATTTCTTACGCTGCAATGTATCTACCAAAGTCGTATGGGTCCATTCTTTGAAAAGTATGCAACCTTCCTACTTATCGCTATCTACTGCTGGAACGTTCAAGTCTCTAAAAAAACCATAGGCATCTTACAGCCTCATGGAAAATTTTCGTGAGTCCCTGTACCTAACTTTGGTTTACAAATAGCCAATGGAGGCCCCAAAAAATTTTTTCGGATGAAAATGGAGTTAGCTACATATCCCAGAAAAAACTGCTTTGTTGTTCTTTTGCTAGCCTGAAAACTTTGAAAATTATTTAACTACTTACACGTATAAACAAGTAACTCGCATGATTTTATGACTCATATAGACTGTCAAAACCTTAGCGTCCCAGGCGGGTGGGGAACGGGAGGGCGGGAAATGCTTTCTCTACCTAGCTCCATTGGTCCCGTGCTGCAGATATATTCCGGCAACTGAGTAGCTTCCCCTTTAAGAGAAACGGGGCAGAGAAAGACTACCGCCAAAACGATCTGCTACATGCTTAACTGTTCCTTTCGCACATGCTATTGCGCCAGTGAGGACCACTAGTCCTAAAGGCACACGCCCGATAGCAGTAGTTCTTCCAGCTCTCTTCGGTTGGTTTCATATAGTGCTCCTATTTTCTGCCAGAGCAAGTGTTGAAATTTGAGTAAGTCATGGCGCTGAGCAGAAACCAGTTTTCCTGTCTAATCGTTGATTAATGGTTTTCAGGAGGTGCAATTACGTAAAAAGCAAGAATCAAAAAAGAAGGCACCGGTGCCTGAGAAAGAAGAGACAGGAACAGCATCGACGAAATGATGGATCTTATGAAGAAAACCTTTACACGCTGTTTGATGGATCCGCTAGAATAGGCTTTGAATACGCGAATATGAAATAAAGGCAGTGTCTCGGCAGAAAGTCGCTTTCCATATTTCCACCTTCTCTCAGCCTTCTCACAATAAGGAACCCATATCTAGGCTTTTCAGCGCATGAAAGTGGCGAAAACGAACTTTTCCGAAGCTTTCCAGATCCGCTTTAAGTGGAGTATAGGTGCAAGTGGGCGGTGCCCAGAACGAGGAAGGCGGGGCGCGGGAGTCTTCCGTCGAGTCTTCACTGAATGCGGACTTGGAAAGCTTCGGAAAAAGCTCATTTTTGCCATTTCGATGCGCTGAAAAGCCCAGATATGGGTTTCCTATGGCTAGAAGGCTCAGAAAAGGTGAAATGAAAAACGCTTTAAATTCTGCCGAGACACGGCCTTCAAGTTGAAGTGCGGGCTTGTCTCGGCAATCAATCTTCTAATTCCACATTAGAACCCTCTTTCCTTCGTGTGCAGCCATGTATAGAAAGTCTGTGATACAAACAATCTAACTTCTGTCTAATCACTTTATCATTAAGCGTAGCTTTTTTGTAGACATATTGTTTTAATTTTCTATTATTGGATCAGATTAGTCAGTCAGTAAGGTTAAGCGTAGAATTCTTCCGGTGCGCCGCCTTTGAGTTTCAACGTCACATTCTTGATAGCTTTTTCGAAATCATCAGCGCACACGACTTTTCTTTGAGCTCGTAGGGCCAGCATTCCTGCTTCAGTGCAGACTGCCTGTAAATACCTCTTCTAATTTGCAAGAAGTTCGTTGAGATGGCAAGCCACACCCATTCTATGGGCGTGGTGCGCCAATTAATGAATAACCTTGATCTCGGCTCCACACATTGTTTTTTCCTTGGACATCACAGAGTCAAATGTCACATCTTTTGCCAAATTCATCCCCGATGTGTGAATCTTGAAATAAATATTACATTGCGCTAATCTTGTCGAGATTTCAGGTTTTGTAGTGTTCACCGTAAAAATTCTCTGCCGAGTTTTATCATCTGGTTTGGGTAATTCGATTTTTCTGTCAATTCGTCCAGGACGTAAAAGAGCCGAGTCGAGGACGTCGATACGATTTGTGGCCAAGATTACCTTAATGGAAAATAGACATAAAAATTCAAGAGTTTGCAACGCACCTTCACGTCTCCTCTGCTTTCGAAACCATCGAGTTGGTTCAATAGTTCTAATAATGTGCGTTGAACCTAATAAATCAGAGTTTCTCTCCGCTCTAATGAATTCAATTGCATACGGCATACAGGGCTCCTAAATTGCAGAGTCGTTTGCACCAGCGGTCGCGCGACCGCGTCGCTCCCAGGCATCAATGGCACCGCCTCGATCGATGGCGCCGGCGCCGGCAAAATGCACGGGCCGACGCGGTCGCGCGACCGCTGGTGCAAACGACTCTGCAATTTAGGAGCCCTGTACTTGAGTAGACGCGAGAACGTGACGCAATTGCGGACCTTCGCATCTCTACTAGAGTCGAAAACTAATGCTCAGCGGAGACGCATACGATGAAAGCGTTATGAGAATGCGGATGAGGTGTATGAGTTGACAAGTAGAAGGGAGAGGGAAAATTTGAACGTGTCAAGACAAGTCAAGCAGGGTGGGTGCTATATACTGTAGTGCGAAATAGCCGTCTGCAGCAAAAGTGGTTTCTGACGCGTACTCGGTAACCCTGTAGGTCTTGCCTTTTGGTATACCTTACCTCTTGTTCACCTCTACACGATGTATCGTATCGTTTCGTTCCAACCGCGTCGATCTCATCCAGAAATACTATGGAAGGTGCATTATCCCTGGCCATTTTGAAGAGTTCCCTAATAAACAGCGGTCATTCATTCCTATTTTGCAACTGCATTTGACCCACCTCACGAGCTTTGCACCATCGCCCGAGTTTTTTTGCACCAAATCTGCGCCAGTCGCTCGAATGAATGTAGCTGCTGTGGAATTTGCGACAGCTTTAGCCAGTAAGGTCTTTCCTAAAGCTAATTGGGCTGACATTTGAAATAAATATTTTCAAGGAAAACCTGTGCCAGGTGGGCCATAGAGTATGACTCCTTTTGGAGCAGTGATACCCATCTCCTCGTAATACTCCGGATGTGTGAGAGGAAGTTCTACAGATTCCTTCATTTCCTGGATGGGTCCCTCGAGGCCACCGATATCCTACACGGGTAGATGGATCCCTTTGGGCTGTTCACTCCCCCCCCCCCCTCCTCCATTCAGAAACCAACCTCAAAGGTTTCTTTTGGCGGCTTGTCAAGTTTGTGTCCCAAAGCACTTGAATCTATTGTGTCTGGTAAAACGCCGACAATGGCTGTTGGCACATTCTTGAACATTCCGCTAGCTTTGACCATCACTAGCGCATTTAGATGAAGGAGATCCTTGATGAAAACGCTTTGAAATGAGCTAGGCAATTTTTCCATGTCAAACGAGAACTGGTCCCCGAGCACCATTCAACGGCAGATGTTGACAGCCGGCGCATCCGAAATCGTTCATCATCCACATAGAGACTAGTATACAGTGGAGCTTTGATGCGTCTGATTAACAAGTTAATACTTGTCTTAATTGAACACGAACATGTTCGAGCCGTTAGGCTCCCGCCAGAGTGCCGAAGTTATGCCAGCGCTACGCCAGCATTTCGATCGATACACGTGTATTTCGTTGGGGACGTCAGCTAGCCCCGCCCAACGAAACACACGTGTATCGATCGAAATGCTGGCGTAGCGCTGGCATAACTTCGGCACTCTGGCGGGAGCCTTAGACAACGCGTGCATATCGTTCACAAGTGTCTTGGTCTCAGAATGGATGATTTGTTCATGGGGACCAGTTCTCGTGCTGTCCACATTGATCCTTGCCTTATCCACGATGGACAAAATAGGAATGAACCATTCTCGTTTTGAACCCTCAACCACTACCACGGCATGCTGCAATGTTCACAGAATGTAACCGGTCGGCTTTTGCAAATGACTTAGAAGCTCTTTCACCTGCTCGTCATTGAACAGCTCGTGCACTTTTGCAAGTGTTACTGGCGTACCGCGAAGTTGCTAAAAGGAGACAATAACGATGAACATCACATCTGTACATGACCGTTCAGCGCACAAATAGATCTTCACGCAGATTGTCTGCATCTCTGCCCAAAGGCGCACAGTGCGAACGCTGAGCCTATGGAAGAGACGCAGACAATCCGCAATAACGTCCAGCCTATGCGTCGAAAAATCAGCTCTATCTGCTTTATTCAGACCTGCACAACTTTTCGCTCCTCTTTCTTTTGACTTTCTAACGATTTGAAAGAATTCTGCCGCTTAATAAATTCAATCTCCAGCAGCAGATAGTCGTGTACACGATTGTGCTTCAGGAGACGAAGGAGGCAATGGCGTCGTGGAAGTACTGCAATCAAAAATTCCGGATTGGATTCCAAAGAGGATCTTTACAGACTGTTTGGCAATTTGTTCACGTGTTCCAAGCCTTTCACTCGTTTCATCGACACTTTCATTGCAGCATGCTCCGGTTTTTCACGTTTTCGCTGCAATCCACCTAGCCGATTGCCCATTGTTAGTGCGAGTCTGAACGACCAATCATAGGTCTCCGAAAAGGCGGAGCCACGAGTATAGCCAATGACAAAACTCAAGCGCACCAGTAGGGTTAGTTAGTGGGCAGAAGTGAGCGACCTCAAAGAGACCGCGATGTTAGTAAAAATGAAGCTTACTTCTTTTTTAAGCCCCATAAAATGTTTTTATTTTATCTACCTAGGCGATGATATCATTCAATTCCATGGCTAGAGCGGCTACACGTCTAGAGTGATTTCAATCAAGAAACAAGCTGAAAAATGCTATGGAGCGGCAGGTTCAATTTTGAAAAGTCGCGCAGTGGAGGAAAGACGAATACAATCAACGATACGGTTGTCATTTCCGTTCCGGAGCTCTTATCCAAACTTCCTAATCCCATCCTCTTCTAGGGGCATTTCGATTTAAAGTTGCCTACAACAAACTCTAGAAGAACTTCTCGTTGCGGACGACCTCCTCTACGTTTCGTAGAAAGCATTTATCTTACTCATCTAATAATGTTGGAGATTTGCAACTGACGATGCTGACGGCTTTAAAAGTGCACGGCCTAGACCTAGGATGGCCAGTCGAGGCCCTAGGACCTCATGCGAATCGACAAGATGGACGACAGATGGGTGGACGACAAAGTCAACACCTTCAACGTTTTGATGGAACTTTCTCAACACAATAATGAAAATCCCATCCCTCTCAATAAAATTTGTAACACCTCAATATACAGGGTGTGTGCAAAGTATGTATGCACTGTTTGATCGTTTATATCTCTTTTTCCAAGAGGTCTTTTACCTTGGTTCAAGTACCGTTTTGTAGAGCTGGCTTTAACTTAGATTTACAGTATGGAGCGAATCACCCATCTCTCTTCATTACTGTAGGTTTATGGTGGAAACTTCAAAGAGGGTTTTGAGCCATGAAAGGCCATTATTTGCCTCAGAAAGGAAACAAAACGGCCTGAAAACTTTTACACTAAGCTAATTAGAGTTGCTGATTCTAATTCTATACTTCCCAACTCATTATGACGCTTCATTGAAGAGTTATGCCGGGTAAGAGGTAGCGGCCATTTTTTCAATGTTCCTAAAAAGTGCGGTTACACCATTTAGAAAGCTTCGCAATCTTGAGAATAGTTGAGTATTGAACTCAGCGTCCCTTAAAACCCTATTACACAAGTTTTCACACCTTTTTGAAATTTTTGGAGCAGCAGCTTTATCCACAGTGACACCATATGTTCCAAGTTCCTACCGTAATCCTACAGTAAAGAAGAGAGATGGGTGATTCGTTCTATACTGCAAATCTAAGTTGAGGCCAGCTCTACAAAATGGTACCTGAAGCAAGGCAAAAGACTTCTTGGGAAAAGAGATATTAGCGATCAAACAGTGTATACATACTTTACGGATACCCTGTATTACTAGCATCAAAATATCAATTCTTTATTTATTAATCAACTGTTTCCTAACAAAATGGGTTCAAAAATTGAGCATGTTCTATGCGATCTGAAACACGAGAATAATTCTGAACATTCAAGACACAACCCGTCATTCTAATTGATACATGTGATCTACAGTTCGATTGTAGAGTATTGTTCACAGAGCGGACAACGAAACCGAGGCATCGGCAATAGGTACGGATTTTCTGGCACAGCATATGTTATTCTATTTTTAAAATGACGAAACGGTAGGAAAAACCGCAAATGACATCTGAAAAGCATTGTCATTGATAGGATGTATGATTTGAAGAGAACATCTCACTTTGAGCATGTCGCACTGTCCATTTCATCAGATGCTAGAACCTTGTCGCGTTGGCCCCTAAACAGAATTGCTAAATACGATTAGGATTAAGCCATCAATCCAAATCAATTTCCCGCCAAAAGAAACAGCAGGTGCACATCTCAATAAATAAAGCCGGATGTCTGTTTGTCTGTCCGTATGTCTGTCTGTTTGTGTGTATTACGCATGTTCCAAATGAAATTCCATTTCTGGTCCGATTCGGGCCAAACTTTGCACGCATACACTTTGGGGCGGGGCATGTGTCGTAGGCTACTTCTCGTTATCGATCGACATCGATTTTTGCAAAATTTGAGTTACGGGGATGAAGTTACAGGGGTAAGTGACATGCTGATTACGAAAAGATTATTGACAGGGCCGGGCAGAGCCAGGTTTGCTAGTTAATAGATGTTTGTGTAGCCTCTTACATTCTGAATAGATAGGTTTGGCTTGAAAATTTGAAAACTATAAGCTTCTGGCTATAAACACTGGTTCACAATTTATGCAGAAGTATGGATGTTAAGTACAGCTTGCATTAGTCCATCAAGTGGTATATACAATATTTTTGAAGTTCAAGCAAAAGATAAGTTCCTCTCTACCCTACCTGTATTTCCGATTATCTATCCGTTGCGCAGCATACTGCATTCTTTTCACAGCACTCGGTGCACCTTTGAACGGCGGAGCCGGTGAGAAGGGATCGGGGTGATAGAAGAACTGCCTGAACTTCTTTTCTTTCATGGACAAAATCACAAAAATCAGCGCTAAGCACAGGCATACATGCAAGTTGGATATTTTAGTGGACGAAAACAGAGGATTTGTCAAATACGGAAACAAAAACTGATAAATGCTCCTCCTGTACATTCACAACCATTCCATGGACAGTTCTCCACAGACTTTCAATGAATCTTGGCAGGGTAATATCTTTGCTTGTGACTGGTTTAACCTCCACCAAGATTGTTGAAACTTAAACTTTGGCTAACGTTTTGGCCAACTCGCCTTCGTCAGAGCTTGTGAGTGAGGAACAAATGACATTTATCCTCCCAAATGTCTCATCAAATGCAAGGAACAGACACGAGACTAGGAAAGGGGAACGATGCTGCTTAGACGATAGCCCACCTGTGACTTGGATGAATGCGGGCCACGGGCCACCACGGCGAATGGGATGTTTTGTTCAGCTAGTTCCCGTGTTGCTGCGGTTGTAGATCAAGCCCGCATAATTCCAGGGAAGGCGCGATTCATTGGTCATGACAACGTATTTATCTTTCCTTTCATTTAAGATTTCTAGAAAGAATACGACAAGCTTCTAGCGCCTTGCGCGCCGCGATCTCCGCTTCTGGTGACAGAATGGCACCGAAATATCGAATTCTTTATTATTATGCTGCAGCATCCGATGAGTGCCTGGTGGTGTGAATAATTTCGACTTGCACATCTCATCCATGTGCTCCTCACTCCTAGTGCAGAGTGGCCTTCCCGTTTCTCCGATGTATTCATACCCGCACAATTTGAATGTTATAAGGTAGAAAACGCCTGAGTCCAAACAGTCTCCCAAGCTCGTCTTGCATATCATACAGTTTTGTGTTACGCAGGTCCTATCGTGAGTTCTGCTGCGTAACAAGCGCAGTTTCCACTTTGGGTGGCAGCTGCACAACTCGCAATGACTCCCGCAGACCTGGGGCGGTATGCAACAATCGCCCGTCCGGGTAAGTTAGCCGGACAGGTAGTTTCCTCTTTATAGCTCGGTGCTCTGGGGATCTGTGTTCTTCCTTGTTTGTTCATTTTTTGGAAGCTGTACTACCTTAATATTGCAGCACACTAAGTAGAGGCACTTTGCTGTATAAGCTGAGATAATTCGTTATTTGTATGATCTCGAACGAGATCTCCCACTGATCACGCTCATTTTCGATGTAATTTATATCCGCAAAAACTCAATAAAAACGTCACAGAGTTTTGCTGTCGATCTATTATGATAGCGCTACGCATGTCTGTGAAAGAAATAAGTGAAAAATCAAGTAGACAAAATCTTCGATGAACCTGTGCTCGCGAGTTGGGCTTTAGCGAAAAACTCAAAGCTTGCACATTTCATCTGTGCTACTTACGACATGCATAGCACTGTCGTGATAGATCGACAGCAAGACTGTGTGACGTTTTCTATGAGTTTGTGCGGGTATAAATAACTTTGAAAATGAGCGTGATCAGTGGGAGATCCCGTTCGGGATCATACAAATAACGAATTCTCAGCTTATACAGCAAAGTGCAGCTAATCATTGTGCTACAATATTAGTGTAGTAGAGCCTCCAATAGATGAACAAACAAGGAAACAGATTTCCAGAGCACCGAGCTATGAAGCGGGAACTATCTGTCCAGGTAACTTACCCGGACGGGCGATTGTTACATACCGCCCCTGATCGCACGCACGCTCTTATGGTACTACTCAGAGCGTCCAAAATGAATGGGGTACAGAATGGCACCTTGTTATAGGCTCCGTTGTGCAGCCAGCCGCTGTGGCATACCGTAGCACTTCTGGTATATGGATATTGTTCACTTGCGCTATCTGGAGCGTTTTTTGGATTGATGCAACTTTGAGGGTGTCGTCAGACGACACTGTTTAGACTGTACATAACATGTTCCCAAGAACGCTACCTTAGTGCGGATAGGGTGCGTAAAGGAGTAGTGCACAAGATGTTTTTGCGACTTGATTTCCTATATCACCTGTCTTGCATTCTCTTCTGTTAAAGCACAGTTGAAGTAAGGAAAGGAAGCCGGTTCTCTTTGTTTGCCCGAATAAAATTTATGTCAGCAGATTGCCTATGGATCAGATCATAGCAAGTATCCATCTCTGCCTGTGTCGGACATATTTTGAGGCAATCATCGATGTACCGGAAGTAGAGAATAGTTTCGGCCACAGAACGGATATACTAAGATCGTCTCCACGATTCGTGTAGAGGTGTATTGCAGACTTTTCCTGATAACACACGTAAACTTGTTAAACCTCCACGTCATAGCATTGTTTTTCGTACTCTCTCGCTATCGAAAACCGCCACGCTTTGAGTTGGCAAAACCCCACCTCTACACGAATCGTGGAGTCGATGATACTTTGGACATAAAGGGCACAGCTAAGGGTTCCTTCATACTACGCCGCGCACGCCGCGTACGCCGCTGCAGCGCAATGGAAATATCCTCACGGCAGTGGAGCTCCACTTTTTTGATGTATCTCCATATTTGCTGCACATTCGTGTTCCTCAATAGTGTTCCTTCACATTATGCATTTCTTCCTCTCCTTTGCTTTGTTTATCCTGTCTATCCTTTGTCTAAATCAATGATTGATGGAATGACTTAGGTTCTTGTGCTCCCTCTACTTTTTTTCACATTTTGTATCGTAACCGACTGCACATTGCGTCATCTGGTTGTATATTGGTAGTGTATGGTTGTATGTTTGTACAGGGCTTTACAACCTGAGTGTCCCACCCGCCCCGCTAGGACGCCACGCTTAGGTCCGCGCAGCGTTCGTGGCGCTGGCTGCGCGTCGACTGAAGCTTGGCGAAATCCGGGGGATACGCAGCAAACGCCGCGCGCGGCCTGAGCGAGGCGGCCGCGTTGGAGGAGCCGCGCAAGCGAAACTTGCGACTCTCAGGTTGAAAAGCCCTGTATGTTGTATCTGGTTGTACAGTTGCGCTGTTAACATCTCCTTACAAACACATCACTGGATGAAGAGAATTTCTCTTCTTCATACTGTTAAACTGCAATTGCAAGTTTGGTGCGCCGTTGTTGCCGCAGTTTGTTTTCTTCGCTCACAAACCATCATTCTAATTACGGCGCTGGCTTCAGCTACATTGTACAGTCAATGCGGCAAAAAAGATTCGGTGATTTTACTTTCTCTTTGGGTATTAGTTTCACTTCATATCTGTCAATGAAAAAAGTGGAGCTCTGCTGCCGTGAGCATATTTCCATTGCGCTGCAGCGGCGTACGCGGCGTAGTATGAAGGAACTCTAACACAGGCGCCAAACGCTGTCCCTTCCCCGACCTGGCGGAAGTACTGCCCGGGAACCTAGTTCACTAACTATTCATACGTTCGTCTGTAATGGTCCGTAACTCGCACTCGGAAGTCTTAAATGGGCTGTTGATCCTAGGCACATCTTCTCCGTTTTCTAGTCAACTTCGTGTCTATTCCTTGCATTTGGGATTTGAGAGGATAGATCTCATTTGTTTCTCACTTACATGCTCTGACGAAGCCGAGTCGGCGTTAAGACGTCAGTCAAAATAAAAGTTGTAACAATCTTGATGGAGGCTAAACTTCACAAACAATGATACTCTACGGTTTTGATGTTCCGCGTTCGACTTTCGGTGAATCTTGGCATATCGAATGATTTGAGCCAACGCCAAGATTATTAAAGCATTTATTCTGCTAACGGGGGACGAGTAGCGTAGTGGTATGAGGCGCCGCTATGACCAGATCGGACACAGGTTCGATCCCTGCCCCTGGGCCAACCAAGCCCTCTACCCTCCGGGGTCGGTAAATTGGTACCAGAGTAATCTGGGAGGATAAAAGCACTGACTTGGAAACGGCTGGCCCCCGCAAGGAATAGACGCGCCCCCGTGATAGGCTCGCACGCATACAACTGCCTCTTCGACTATGGAGTTAGTGTGTGCGTTCGGCGCATGCCCTCAGAGGGTATTAAAGACGTCGAATCCTTTATCCTTTATCCTTTTTAATCTGCTAACGTTTGGGCCTAGTCGTCTTCGACAGAGTCTTGTGAGGAGCATTGAGATTAACCTCCCAAACATCTCATCACTTGCAGGAAAAGTCTCAAAAATTGAAAAGATTCCCATTAGGGCTCAGAACTATTAGCTCACCTTTGCTATCAGATAAGGAAGAACTAACTGGAATGCGCTGACTGAATGAGGCAAGTCTCTGGAGGCTAAGCATAGATCAAAACTTGCTAACTCTAATGGAGCGAGCACAGTTGTTATGGCGATGCATTCTTCTTTCCTGTTCATTCCGAGAGTTCTGGATAGAATCCAGCACGCCTCGAGAGACTTTCGCGACGGCACTCTAATTTCCCGTGACAGAATGTTAACCGAGACCACAAATTCTGTCCTTGATATTCGCAACCCGTCCATGTACTCCTTGATTCCTGACGCATAGCTGCCTACCGTCTCCTATATACTCCTCACCACATAGCTTACAATTGATAATTGGTACCCGTGCCAGAGCACATGCAATTGCCGTCACCATTAATTGCACAAAATGCAATCAGGGTTACTGCAGATTGATCATATACACTGTTGCGCACACGTTGTTCAAAATCGGGAGAAAAAATCTCAATGACTCTGAGTGAGAACTGCAGTCCCAATTTTCGCACGCAGGCTCTAATGACCTTCTCATCTCATCCGAAGTGAAGGGAATACCAAATCGACCTTGCTACCATCACCTCCATGTGATCTGCTGATGCGGCTCTCCCGCGCCCTCTTGCATGGGTATCCGTTAGCTTGCGCTACCTGCAGTGCTCTACTAAATGAAGAGGCCTTGAGGTCATCGTCCAATGACACCGTTCTAACTGTGTGAAGCATATTCCCAATGATTCTGCGTTTGGTGCGAATAGGGTGCGCCAAGGAATAATGTACGAGGATTTTCTTACTGGTTGGCTTCCTGTAATACCAGGTTCTATTCTCCTTTCCCCAAGCAAATCTGAATGTTGAGAGATAGAAACCACCCTCCTTCAATGTTTCCCTGGTAAATCGGACGTCAGCTAATTGCCTTTGAGTGGGTCAAAGCACATGTGCCCATTCCCTTAAGTTGGACAAACGATGAGGCAGTCATCAATGTACCGGTACTAGAGAAGCAGGACTCCGGCTAAGTACTGGCTTTTCTACTTTGGACATGAAGTATACAGCTATCGCAGGAGCCAAACGCTGTCCCATAGCAAGTCCCCTGATCTCTTCAAAGTTGCCCCGACCAACGAAATACTGAACAGTCTAGACAACCTTTTGAATTGAGCAATTCGAACTCAGCCTGCAGGGCGGCTGGATAACACTTTTGAGACCTTTTTCGCATGTGAAGAGATGTTGGAGAGGTTAATTCTGAATGTCCCTCACTTTAAACTCTGAGAAGGCGACTAGACCGAAACGTTAGCCGATTAATCGCTATGATAATCTTGGCATTGACTAAACCACTCGAGCAAGGTACTCTGCGTACGAATTATTACGCGTCCACAATCTTTCTCTTCACAAACTTCTTGGAAATCAGAGGGGTACGAAAAATGACTGCCAAATGCCACCGCTGCTAAGCCTCAGTATAACAGCACACTCACCCATCTTCACCGCAGGTGGCAACTACAGTCTCCTTCTGGAATCTCCAAGTCTTATCGCTACGCACAAAGACACTAAATGAGCAGCGTAAGTCACTGGGAGCAAAAAGACAAGATCAAACGTACTTAGGAAGTTTTACTGGCTTGCCATCGCTGAATGATGTGGCCTGCAAGTGATTTTTGATAAGATGCCAGATGCGGAAGTGGCTAGTGCGAGTTGACAACTTCTAGTAATGTATCACACAAAACGCAAATATGCTCCGCCTTACTCAATAAGCGGGCCGTCGGGGTATGTTATACGCTCAAACTCTGTATACTGATACTTTCTGAGGAGCTTTGCCAGTACCCATTGGCGCTGAATTACCACTCTTACAGTAAAGTCTAAGATGTGATGGCTGACCAGTCTTATGGAAAGCCGGTGGCTGGAGTTTAATGACTCCTGTGTGTTACAGTACAGTCTTGATAATATGAACTTGAAGGCACGCCAGTTGGTGCTTTATAGCGTAGGTGAACAGTTGTGCGTCGCTCAAAATTTGGTAGTAATCACAAGTTTGTTCGAGCACATTCATTTCGAAAATCATTTTCTTCTTTATCGGATTGTGCTAAGTAAAAATCCTCCATATCGTCTACTTCCGAGTTTAGTGATTTTAAGCCTGCTGTCGCTTGTGCCAGGCAATATTTGGGAACAGTGGCATTTTCATAGCATCTTTTTTGGTTCCTCTGTCAAAATCCAGTGTTGGCTGGAAAACATTGCAAGACTCCACCTGTTGATTAGGCTTTCAAACACTTATGAGCACTGCAGAATAGCCTCCTTGTGGTGTTTGAGTGACATCCTAGGTGTCATTCCCAGTCTGTTTTTCTGCCCGTTAATCTGCCAAATTCGAGTGTATGTGTCACTCTGAACATGATCACCTGTGCCCGTTGCAGGCAGAGCACGGCTTTTAGGGAGCTGGTCCCAAGGTCAGACTTGGCTGCCCTTCGCGCTGCTACTGCTCAGACAATCGCCGCGGGCAGGCGGGCGCCGGAAAACGCGCGTTGCTGACATTTCGCATTTCGCTCGCAAAATGCAGGATAATGGTAAGCGAGTTTTTGAGAGACCGCCTGTCTTATCTTTTGCAGATATATTGCTGAATCTTTGAGGAATCGAGAACCCAGCAAGCGGCGTTCCGAAAAGCCCTGATTGCCTTTCAAATATTCGCGAGCGGGTTGCGAGAAGTCATTACATTACATTACATTTATTCATCCTCAGCGGTTATATACAACTGATACCGCGATGATTCCGCTTACGGCTTGAGTTGGGCGACATCGACTTCGATCGCCTTCGATGGCAAAAATTCAATCTTGCTCGTGCCAACCAGCGCATTCTCGTGACGTTGCGATCTTGGTCCATGACTTCTCCACCAAGTAGACGTAGTGGACCAGCCACGGTTTCTTCCACCTTGTCTTCTTGATGCTATCCTTGGTGGATGGTATAGGTCAGAGCTAAGAAGTAGCCGACCGTTTGCGGGAAGGATGAGGAGAGAAGTGGCGAGAAGTCAGCCATCTATTTTTCCGGTGCCCGCCTGCCCCCGGCGATTGTCTGAGTAGGAGCAAAGCACTTGCTTTGGGGAACTTGGTCCAAAGGTTAGGGGCTAGGCTAACCCATGTGTGGTTAGGAACACTGTATCGGTCGTAATTCGATGCACCATAAAAATGTGATGACTTACCCCTCCTATGGTAAAGTCAAAGACGTGATGGCTGACCACTCTTACGGAAAGCCGGTAGTTGGAATTAATGACTCCAGTGTGTTGCAATACACATAAGCTTACAAATTTATTGAGACATCAACATACCCTCACTCGGGCAATAGCAGAATGCCGCTCCTAATAGGCGTAGCAGAGTAAGGCCATGCTTACCAAAAAATATGACTCGAGGTCGCGAGTTGCTGACCTCGAGGCTATAAAGAAGTAGTGAGGAGAGATTGATAGGATTAAAAAAGGTCCGAATATGTCGGCACAGGCGCGTAGGCTTCTCCTTTCGTCTCAAAGGTACTGTTCACAAACCGAGAGTTGTAAGATTTTGATACGGTCACTCCGCCCATCAGCGTGGATGGTTTAATAGACTCCGATATTGGGCTTATTGTGACTAACAATCGAGAATCTGCCCTTCATATGGTTATCAACTCTTGATTCCGATTACAGGCCCAATTTAGAACTCGTGTCTTCACGCAAATTGTTAGGCGGAGCGACCACTGCCTTTTGCAAGAAATTGGGCGATGACTCACAAGAACTTACACTTAGTCAGAGGTCACGTTATTGTATCGTAGCAAAATCTCACAAACCTCACAAGGGAACCGTGTCGAGTCAAATTGGCCTTTCCAGGTGGGACCCATACTGCTTTGAAGAGCATTAATCGGTGATTCCAAATCTGCTCTCCAAATCTGCCAAGCGCCTCTGGACACCGAGTTATGCTCGTTTTTCAGGTTAAAAAATTGAACGCAAAACTGAAGCAAAATTGCCCAAATTTGCTCAAAAGGTCCAATGTCAAGTATCAGAGCTGTTTATGCGATAAATACATTTTATTTATTATGCCAATACTTAACATTGCTTTATCTGAGCGCTGGAAAGATTGCAACAATCAATTTTACCTAAATTCTGCATTCATTTTTCGTTCCGAAGAACGGTCATAACTCGGCGTCCAGAGGCGCTTGGCAGATTTGGAAGGCAGATTTGGAATCACCGCTTAATACTCTTCGAAGCAGTATGGGTTTCATCTGGAAAAGCCACTTCGACTCGACACGGTTCCCTTGTCAGTTTGGATGGACTGCCTTTGAAGGCAGCAGCTCGCCAAAACCGAACATCCCCAAAATTTTGATTGGAAGGTTGCTTGCACCCCAAAAATGAGAACAAAGCAGGTTCGAGCGCACAGCATGCTGCCATTATCTTAACTGCCCCTAAACCCGTTAAGCGCAAGCCAATATCGCAAGCCGCGCGGACAGGCTTGCGATTCTCCCTGCTCGGTCAGAGGAGGCATGCCGCAAAGTTATAACTGCGAAGGTCCCGCAACGATTCCGCCTCTCAAACCATGGTGGTGCTCCACTCGTCCAAATTCAAAATGGGAGGCCTTGGAAAAGGTGATTTTTGCCATTTTCGCGCTCTTCAAGGTGATTTTCGGAATCAGCACCCCGAATTACCCAAGTAAGCGAAAAAAACTACAAGTCAAGAATCCGCCGAGCTGCCTTTTACCTGACTGAGTAACTGACGCCCTTATTCTTGGATGATTTTCAACAAGTCGACTTTCGCCCGCAAGGCAGGATACTCACCTCCCACCATTTTGAAATCATCTAATCGGAGAAGTTCTTCTTTAGGTTTGGCCCTTACTCGCAATGTTCGGGGCTTCTAAAGCACCCGTCTTATTTCGCCAAAAAACCCAAAAGCGCCCAAAAAAGCAAGAAAAAGCCCGAAAAAACCCAAAAAAGCCCGAACAGCCCAAAGAAGCCCAAAAACGCGAAAAAGTCCGAAAGCGCTAGAAAGAGCCGGAACGCAGAGTCGAACTTTTGGTAGAATTCTGTGCCGATATTGTCGGCACATCCTCACAACCATGCCATTTCTTCGCTAGATTACCGTAAAGGTCATGCCATAAGCATGAACTGCTGTGATATGAGTGCGTTTATCGCCCAGATGCATGTCAAATTACTTTGCTCCGTCTGTTATCGTTAGCATTCTCCACCACTGTCCCAATGCGGACAAGTCGTCTGACTCAATAAATCTGTTGGGCTAGTGTACTGTGCACACCAACAGATACATCCACAAAGGCGACAACTACGCCTGCAACGTCGGCATACGTTAGCCTGGTATCCGCTATGACGTCATATGGCACGGGTATCAGGAATCATCGATCGGTCGATGATACTCCGGCCAGACAAGGGGATACATACATGTAGAGAATGATAATAGTTATATACATGACTAGTACAACTGCATCTACATGGAGGTGAGGGATTATACGTTGTAGATGTGACGTTGACTGAGTTGTACGGCTAGTCGTTGAGGAGTGAACCATTGGAGTTGACAAGAAGAAGCTGGTAGTAGTTGTAGTGGACGGTGGCAGTTGTAAGATTGTTGATGGCAGCTTCTTGAAGACGACGACGATTCAAGAAATGGCGGGTAGTTGACGATTTGGCGTTTTGAAAGGATCCAGGCGAGAAGAACTGCTACAGTAACCTCCTGATTATGACCGAAATCATAAGGCTGATAAGCACTGTAGCGTTCCGGGAAAGGAGTTTTTAAGAAAAAACAGCACAGTAGCGAAATATAGTGTGAAATCTCTTCTTTTTCTTTAGAAGTTGCTCACAACAGCTGAAACTGTTGGAATCCATTCCTGTTAGGTGCGTAGCAAGTGGTACCCAGGCAGCCGACTGCTGCCGCAGCCAGTCCCCAGAGCTGCCGGCAAAGCCGCTGCAGATGGTACAGTAACTACGCTCGTCGTCTAAAACTCTTGCCGAGAGGTTTCCTCGCACCTCGTCGCTCTGAGGTGCGATACCAGCCTAAGGAAAGCCTGATGTCCTCTATATATACATTATTTTGAACAGCAGAAAATTCATGTTTTTTGAAGAACATGCAAATAAACAAGGATAAACAGGGAAGAGGTTTTTGAAAAGAAAATTCAACAAATAACAATTGAAATTCAAATTCAAAAGAAAATGATCACGAATTCAAATCACTTCAAAACTCAAAGGAAGTAGAAGCTGAAAAAGTTAGGAATTCTCAAATTTCTAGAGATTTTTTTCGCTTTGACGTCGAAGAATGGACGAGAACAATTACAGGGGAATGTCGTGCTTATAACGGTAAGAAAACTCTGTCAAAATGATTATTTCATTTTATTCAGTTTTGTAATTGTTTCTCTGCTGCTCAAAATGATATAGATGTTGAGGATAGGATATCACGCTATCATTGACCTACTCAGTTTGATTGACTTACTTTGCCTTAAGCTCGCTTAACATCACTACTTTCCTGAGGTATGAAATAACCATTTTGACACAGTTTTCTTAGCGTTATAAGCATGACATTTTCTTGTAAATGTTCTCCTCCAATCTTCAACGTGAAAGCGAAAAAAATCTCCAGAAATTTGAAAATTCCTAATTTTTTCTCTGCTTCCTATGAGTTTTAAAGTATTTTGTTTGTGATCATTTTCCTCTAGAAAAACCCTCCTCTATTCACTATTTGCATGTTTCTAAAAAAACGAAATTTTTGCTGTTCAAAATTATATCGAGGATATCACGCTTTCCTAAGGCTGATTTCGCACCTCAGAGCAACGAGGTGCGAGGAAACCTCTCGGCAAGAGATTTAGACGACGAGCATAATTACTGTACCATATGCAGCGGCTTTACCGGCGGCTCTGGCGGCTGGCTGCGGCAGCAGTCGGCTGCCTGGGTACCACTTGCACGCCTCCCATGTTTATTGGATTTTGCTAGTTTTGGCAAGCAATACGCAATTGGAGCTGATAGTAAACGTAGCATCCATAAGATTATGCGGATCATCACTTTGATTACGCGGATCACCACTTTAACAACGTATGAACAATGGGACCACCTAGGTAGGTCGCGATCGCGAGAATTGCTGCAGACGTGAATGCTGCTACGGAGATGCTAATGGTTTCTTATGATCTCTACCAGCGGTGTGATGTCTTGGTGATGTCACTAAACCATTGGTGGTGCAAAGGCACCGTGTGAATCTTCCTCGAACGGCAACGGATCAGCTGATATGTGGTAGTGAAGGGTACCTTAAAGAGCAATAGATACATGTCCGTGGTGACACTGCGCAGTACATTTCTCGTTGATTACTGCTCGTTCAAGTGCTAAATTAACAGAAGTGGACTCATTACTCGATGAACATTGTATATTGAAAGTCTGGGTTTCACACGAAACCGTCACCGTTCTTTCAAACGAAAAATGGCAATGTACTAGGACAGTAGCTCAATGCAAGCAAGAACAGCATCCAGTCAACTTGCTAAGACGAACTTCGCATTCCGCTAAGAATATCTCTTAAGCTGATTCAGCTAAATTGAAGATGCAATTGACAACGTAAATTCGCTTTCATCTGAAATTGCTACCACGTCTTTACCTATCGCGTTATAGTGAAAACTGGAGTTCCTAGCCGTAGTATTGTAGATGAGCGATTTCTAAGGGCATTAATTGAATCATCTGGACACAGACATCGATGAACAGAGTTATCACAATGACATCGCATACTTGTAGTGCATGATGAGAAGTTACGCTTGGCTTGCAATTCACTGCTACATTCGACTGGAATTTGGAATTTGTCCGGTAAGACAGATGACTCTTTTCCAGAGGAAAACTTTGGAAAAGAATCATTTGATCCAGGGAAGGATCCAGAGTTTGTTTAGCAGTGGCAGGGATAACTTTTGGATGCATACGACCGTTACGTCAAAATTGATTTCTTCCGTAACATATGGCTAGATCAAGCGAGTGCTCATAAATTATTTTGCCCATTTCTGTGTATTCCATGCGAATGTGCACGGTAGGCTTTACTCTATACAGGATACTACTTCAAATACCTGATCGGAAATTAATCTATGTGCGACTCCCTAGAATTGGCATGCTGGTAGAGGGAGAAAGCATCCGCAGGGGATTCATGTATCGATGGTTCAAGGCTTTAGTGTAGCCTAAGGCGAAATAGCGCCTTTTGGAGTGTGTTATATAGGACACATTAGCTGTTAGAGCTTTATGAACAGTCAACTAGCACACGTGGGTGCTGTGGTAGAATGCTGACGATTATAGCCGTGGCTATATAAGTTACTAGGCATCTGGGCAGTAAACAGACTTAAATCACAGCGTCATGCTTATGGCATGACCTTTACGGCACTATTCGGTGAGATACAAGCGACGTGATATAGAATCAAGGAAATGCCGACAATATCGGCACACTCCCGCCGGCAGAAGGAATAAGGAGCGGAATGTTGGAAGTAATAGCAAAATAGCAAATCTAAGCATGCAGCCACAATTGTCTATGAAGCGATGGCGTTTGTCTGGATCTCGTAGAGGTCGTTGCTGCACTGCGACGCGATTGAAGATGAGGCGCCGGCACTTGAGGGACTGTCATGAAGTGGAGAGGAAGACGAGTGTAAACTATAACGGTGTATAATGCTTTCTGTAAATTAGCATATACTTGTGAATACGTATGGAGAGGTTCGCGACTACGCTTCTTGTCCTGCTTCAACTTGCGTCAAAATTGCAAACTCTGGGAAGGTCGTCTTTCACTGACATCAGTGCCTGTGTTTGCCTGTGGCATTCCTGATGTGATGACCTGTGCTAAGGTCAAATTCTAAAGTTATTTTGAAGTATAGACGGCAGACGTACGCGCAGAAGGGGTGGTCCGGCTCTTTCTGGCGTTTCTGGCTTTTTTGGACCTTTTTGGGATTTTTTGGGCTTTTTCGGGCTTTTTTAACGCTTTTGGGCTTTTTCGGCAAAGGATGACGGCCCCTGAGCGCTACTACGGGACCCGGCGTAGTGTATTGGGTCTCATATAGTCGATGAAGAAATTTCCCCCACTTCAGGAGATTGCTGTACCCGACTTTCTCGGGTTGGGTTCATGTTGTTGAGTGATTTGAGTCGATGAACTTTGTGAGTAAAAACGGAAATCAGTCTGGCCAAGTCAAGCCCTCATATAGCGGGCTGTGAAGATGCGCAGGTACCCCGAACCTGTGGCCCGACACGAACCAGTACGACAAGTAGCTGGCTTTCCCGGTTCAACCCAAGTCTTTGTTTACGGGGAATGAGGTAGACGCTGTTTCGGTCGTCAGCATAATTACTGCACTGTGAGACCCCCCCCCCCATTCCATGTTATGTTACTAAACACGATAAGTTTTCCTTTCCTTAGAAATACACAAACAAATCAATAAATCAATAGAAAAACCCAGCGAGTCTTCTTGAAAAATAGTCTATATCATTCTCCGGGGTCGAAAACATATGTTGCAAAGCTTGAGCTCAATCCGTTTTCACATCAAGTTAGGGTTAAAGTTACTGCACACTTACAAACTATCTGCTTAATATAGTATGTAGAGATAGGTGAATTCATAAGTGATAAAATGACATGAACAGGGATGATGACCATAGGTGCGGCTTCACGTTTCAAAATATGCTCAGACACCACGCCAATCCCGCAACATGACCAAAGCTTAATACCTGTTTACGATTCGCATCATTGTCCACATGACAATTCTCAGTATTTCTTTCGCGGATATTATACAAAGGTTCCTAAAACCAAAACCTGAAGAACAGATGAAACTTGAACCACATTTAAACAGTAAACCTACCTCATAGCTGTCATCATGCCATCTGTTTCCATTATGTACACGTTTTGTACAGCGGCAATATGTGTGGTCCTCCTTGGAAGTGCTTGCGCAATTGTTGTTGACATAGGTAACTTCATCCTCAGAAGAGCTTAAGTGCAATCTTGATATAGTGTACAATGAATCAACCCCACCTACCACTGTGTATCACCCTGATCGGTATCACCTATGGACTCATCTACCATAACTTCCATTTTCCCAACGCAGTCCATTATGAACTATCCTACATTCTAATCTATGTTTGATCTGAAAAGGACTACTTTTATCATCTGAAGCGGAAGTTCTTCTACAAAGCCCGCATCGATGAATCAGGTGCCAAGGTCTTTTTCGATCCGGAGTAGGCAAACAATCCACGTGGAGCGACGCATCCGCACCGCTAGAGCTCAGTGAAGTACAGTCTGCCCCAATCTCAACCAGGCCAAAATTGGCATGGCGGGAGTCCGCGCCGCTAGGATTTTGCGGTCACGCCCAAGGCCTGCTTCTCTGCTCTCTCTTCAATCCTTTCGCTCTCTCCGACAGCGCGCATATGCAGCGCAGACCGTTAGCGCTGCGAGCGCGCAAATCTACGCCGGGGGTTCGGTCTGGTCCCGATTGGAGCAGAATATAGGTGAGAAAGAGACGCTATTATGTGACATCCAGCTCAGTATACATCATTCATCCGTCGCGACGAACTACATCATATACGGACATTCCAACTGAATGGTTCATTAGTTGTCTGTTGCCTTTGCAATTTTCTGTATCACTGTATTAAGGGAAGAGCCGAGAACTGGCTAGACCAGTGGAGACGTCTGGTGGACCGGTGTCACAGATGACTGTTTGAACTAGTCCATGCCTGCCTCTGATGAAGACAAAAGCGTCGAAACGCAGACTGACGAATAAAGGACCACCTAGCAACGTGTTCGGCACAGCAAGATTCAACCTAACAATTTCCATCTCATTTGTATGGAGTTTACACTGAATCGCCGAGTGCTATCATGCCATCGTTGTTGGGACAAAGTATCACTCTAAGTCGGAGGTTATAACCACAACCGATCTACGGTGTCGTTTTCCAAGTTGGCACTAGTGCAAAGCTGTTGACAACTTGGGGGACGGTCAGGAGGTACGATCGGCGCGAATTTTTCGCAAAGCGACGCCGCAGCGTACTTCAACCAATACAACAGCAGCACTCCAAGCGCGATGTTACTTACGGCATTGAGTCACGTACCTGCCTCCATCCCCACCCCCGTGTTTTTGCAGCCAGGAGTCTTTGATATGGGCAGCTCTATGGGTCCTAAGGGATCGTTCAGACCGCGCCTGTACCCGCCCAAATACGTCCGAATACGTCCAAATACGCCCGAATACGTCCGAATACGTCCAAATACGTCCGAATACGTCCAAATACGCCCAAATACGTCCGAATACGCTCAAACCCGCCCGAACGCCGAAACTGCCAATGCGCAGCAAATTGCATGCAGATTGGCATATTGGAGCACGCGTGGAATAGTGCGTGCGTGGTGCATATATGGTAGCCACACGTAGCTCGACGTTACATACCGATTTTCATATGCGACTAGCGGGATTACAAAGATCAATCGACTTTGCGTCTGTTTTTATTTCTTCTCATGTTTGCTGACTCTAGGTGAGTTCTAACTTTCGTGCTGTGCGTTTTTTTGTTTTTTCGGGTTTTTTCCTTTCTGCTCCAAGTGAAAGTGCATCTGCGTCTGTGTGTAAGTACAGTAGGTGGGTATATATTGTTTGTGTGAGTGTGTGTGTGCATGTGTGTGAGTGAGAATGCCATAGTGTGCGTATGCGTGTGTGTGTTGTGTATGTGTGTGTACTTACACACAGACGCAGATGCACTTCCACTTGGAGCAGAAAAGAAAAAACCCGAAAAAAAAACAAGAAAACGCACAGCACGAAAGTTAGAACTCACCTAGAGTCAGCAAACATGAGAAGAAATAAAAACAGACGCAAAGTCGATTGATCTTTGTAATCCCGCTAGTCGCATATGAAAATCGGTATGTAACGTCGAGCTACGTGTGGCTACCATATATGCACCACGCACGCAGTATTCCACGCGTGCTCCAATATGCCAATTTGCATGCAATTTGCTGCGCATTGGCAGTTTCGACGTTCGGGCGGGTTTGGGCGTATTCGGACGTATTTGGGCGTATTTGGACGTATTCGGACGTATTTGGACGTATTCGGACGTATTCGGGCGTATTTGGACGTATTCGGACGTATTTGGGCGGGTACAGGCGCGGTCTGAACGATCCCTAAGATCGGGACGCCGCGGCGAAGCGGCCGCCGCGCGCGGCGCACCTCCTGAGGCACCCGCCATACTTGATCCGCTTAATACACTTGATCCGCTTCGTCATTGGTCGATTCAGTGAATAGAGCAATAGCGAAGCGGTTGTCCGCATGATCCACTTCATCCACTTCACTATTGGTCAGTTCACTGAATTGACCAATGATGAAGAGGATCAAGCGGATCAAGTGGATTAAGCGGATCAAGTATGGCGGGTGCCTGACGTGTAGCCGACAACTTGCGCCTGCTTGCGGACTTTTGCGAGGCTTTCACGAAGACGGTGGATCCCCACACAACAGCATGCAACCAGTGCAAAAAGTCCGCAAAACAGTAGCGAGTTTGGTTTGGAGAATTTGTAGCCGAAAGTGCAATCTGCAATGTCGCCTTAGCTTTGTCTTAAACCTCGGGCAGAGTTCACGCGATTTGATCGTCGCGATTGATCGCGACAAGACAACTGTAAATATCATTGCACGCCGATCTTCTTGCATTTCGGCTGTGATAGTTTTCCAACACGACTAATCGTGACTAACTGTCACAACCGAAATACAAGAAGTTCGGCATGCAATGAACTCGTAACATTTGTCTTGTAGCGACTGAATCAGACGATGAAATCGCGTGAACTCTGCCCGAGACCTTAATTAGTTAAAAAATCCATGAAAGACTGCCAAAATGAACTGCGGCGAGGATGGTGCGCAAAGGTCGAGATTCTCCATTATTTCCTCAACGCTCGCGTACGCCTTGCATCATGGGGAATCACCTTCGACTGAGACCAGCCCTTAGTCCCCACCCACTCTCCTCAAATGAGTTTTCATTTGCGATCTACATGTGTCCAGATCCGCCTGGACCTTGCATGTGAGATCTGGTTTGCTTATTTCCTCGTAAACACCCATTTTGTTGTTTTTTTTTCAGCTTTCACTGGGTTTAACGACTGAGTCAAAATCGATGGACAGGCTTCGCAACTGCCATAAGAAGTACCAGTACCCAGTACTACTCCTGATAACAACAAGATTTCTCATGCACTACTTATGAACAATGATTTCATTTCTCAACATGAACATAGTTAGAATACATGCAGTTTTGAGTATCGCTGTGACAACTACCAGTGGAATTCCAAATAGAAAGGATACAACCGATACATAGAGAAACGTAAATAAGGAAACATCAACAGAAGAAAATTAATACAGTTAATGACTAAAACAAGAAATGTCGAGAAGTTCCACTTCTGACGCTGAAAAAAACTTCGGAGTTTATAATATCCAGTGACAAAAGCGCAAATGACCTCCTTGAAGAAACCCAAAATTTTTCTTATAAGAAGGGAAGCATATTTGAAATCGCTTCTAAACAAACAAATTGCTTCCTGATCTTTACAACAGCTAAATATGCACAGCGACACAATCAATAGATCTGACGCAGACAATGTACGTGGTACGACCAACGCGGCATCGCAGTCCAGCTGAATTCCTCGTATAACGAATGAGGGGGACTTACAATCTGCCTGCGAACGCTGGAAACACATGCATTGCTTGCATCGGTGGCTCATACACATGCGCGAAAAAATGGAAAAGAAAAAGAATGCGTCACTGAAAATGTTGCACACGTGCGGACAAGGTGAGAGAGCAAAGAAAATTTCTCATTGACTCTTTCAGAGGGATAGCGTAAATTAGCTTTTCAATACTCAAACGCTAAATTATCAGCTCAAGGTTATCTATATCATCTTCAAAAATAGGCTTCAAACAAACTGAGCAAACATTTTTTCGTGAAAATGCGAAGTAAAAACAATTCTTCTCCTGCACGAAGTAAAAACAGACCACAAACCGCTTGATTTGAATGCTGTGTAGGCATGTCTTGGGTCACGTTTCTGACTGTTTGATGTTTCATGCTACCTAAGATGGATGCGGCCTAATATAGGCCATATTTATGCTCGGATATAAAACTCGGCAAGAAAATCGCTGCCTATTTCGGTATTTTTTACTGTTGCTGTGTGTTCTGCTGCGAATTATTTTGTGAGCTTTGCGCCTGCTGTTGACCCTTCTTGCGCCGGCAAAACTTCTTGTGCGTGGCCCAGTGTCCCTGCTGACATTCGACACTACAGTAGGCAGTGTTCCAGCAACAGTGATAGATTGCCTAAAAAATCATAGAAAAACAGATAAAAGCTGACAATTCTAGTCACTCTACCTCGCTTTCACACTGCCAACACCACTGCTTTTTCTTCGTAGCCGCAAGCTCCCTTTTATGTTTCTCTGTCAATTTGGCTATCTCCATCTTCAGCGATTCTCGATACTTGTCTTCTAGTTCAGCCCTAAGATAGGTATGATAGTGAGATACTAGAATAAGATGGAAAGTGAATTACCTTGTGGTATCCAGCTCATCTTTGAACTGTGTCAGCAATTCCGTACGGATCTTTTGCTGATCTGACAAGAATTCCTGATGAAGCTGCAAATGGAGAATGATTATGTAAAGTTTAGTCCTGCGAAATTATTTAGCATTTAGTGCAGGAACGTTCGCTATAAAAATCCCGGATGCGCACAAGAAATACTCCACAGAAAAAGCACTATATGGAAAGCTACCATACATTCACGTAAGATCGCTCATATGTTCTTTCAGAAATTTCGAGAACTGCTAAACCTAAACGGAGTGCCTTTTTTCTAGATAACTTCGGATTGATAAGTATTCAGACTTCATGTCTGAATAATGATTGGGAGGTCACCGTCCACCCTAAGTTGAGAGTCTTGAGCTTTTGGCAGCATATGATAGTAGGGCCTCCCATCAAGACAATGCCCAAATCGCAGTGCAAAATGTCGTTTCTGAAGCAAGAAAACCGCTCCGGAATAACGAAGATGCACGAAGACCTCCACCTACCCGCCCTCCCCCATCCACGCCCGCCCATTTGTGCGCGCCCATCCAATCACCGTTCCGGAAAGCCGACCTGTGGGCTCCCGGAACGGGGATTGTCGAGGTTTTCGCGGATTCTCGACTTTATATTCAAAGTCAGGGACATGCGAAGGTCATGAAACGACAGAAACCTGAAAGACGAGAATCTGGGTGGACGGTGCCTTTGAAGGCCATTGCTCAAGTCAGAAAAAAAGACCCATATGTTGACATTCGTGGCCGAACATTCTAAACACTCGCCCTGCATCGTACTCGAAATCGACTTCTGCTCGCAAGGAGTACGGCACTGGGAGAGTTGAGAAGTGAATTCTCGGCCACGATTAAATCATATGAACTGTCGCTTAAGCGCACTGGCTTAGCTGAAGCTCCGGGTCTTCCCGAGCAAAAGATCAAACACTTAAATTTGCCTGTGTACTGGTTTTATATTCTGAAATGTTGTGTCCCGCTGAATCAATACCACAAGCAAGCTATATTACACCGAACTAGACAGATCCGTGCGCACCGATTTTGTATCCATTACCGTATACCAAGGTAATTCCTCAAAAGGAAAAACGAACTTGACACTATTTCAATAAACTGAAATCCTGCAGCACCGTTGCATAGAAACTTTAATTTGTCAAAAAAATTGGATGGAGGGTGCTGCATAATATTGAAAAGCATTAAGAATCTACCTTTTCTGTCATTTCCACTAGCAACTTCTCTCGTGATTGTTGGTAGTCCGTAAGCCAATGTCGTTGAAGATCCATGATCATCCTTTTCATGCGCTCATCTAGGACCCAGTTATCCACCTGAAAGTACATCGATGGAATGACAGACTGGTCGATGATATCTACTACATGATGCACTCTATTAAACACAAATGGGACAAGTTCTATAGAAATTCGTATCCAATTTCGTTCTTAACCGTTTTCGCTATTCATCAACGATCGATAAGCGCCCTGTGATTCCGATATTCCATTGTACTTAAAATAAGAAAAAAATACACAGAGGTAAGTTCTCAACTGCTTGCTCAATATCAGGACAGGTTCGCGGAATATGGAGAATATACTCGAATTTCTCGAGGTGAGGAGTTTCCTAAAAGTATAATCCGCAACGGCAACTCTTCCATCAAGCCTTTTTTCACTTCAATTTTTTCATAAGGCTCATACCAGCTAAATCCCCCAAAATTTGACGTATGTGGTCAACCAATAAATGCAATATTCATATTTGCACTTTTTCCCAGAGCTACTGAAAATAACAAAATAAAATAACAAAATCTATTCTTTTTCCTTTCCGAAAGCTACTCAAATTTGCAAAACATATTCTTCCTCCCCTTGTACTAGGAAAACATTGTCCGAAAAGACCGCATGATCTTTGATGTTGAGATACATTTAGACATCATACAATGATTAGGTAAATAAAACAATTAAATCATCAAATATCTGGAGTATGTGAATAAAAGAGATAGAATGGCAGTTTAACAATTTGTACTTGCAATGCAATATCTACTGGGAGCAAAATCGTGATAACCCGCGCAAAATTAGATGCAAGAAACAAGCCTTTATCTCTTGCAGTATATTCTGTATTTTACATTCGATAGTTTTCAAGCAAAGAAGAAACTTCATTTATACCCCGAAATCTGGCATATTAGACCGCTTTTTCAACCCACATAAGTCCTGTTCAGTTGAAGTCCACCTACAGGTAAGTCCTTTTCTCATTACAACTATCCTAAAACCTTCTACAAGTCCGAAGCGGCATTGGCTGTGTCGGACTTATCTTTAATCCTCGGACTGAGTTTACACGATTTCATCGTTGCGATTCAATCGCTACAAGACAACTGTTACGAGTTCATTGCATGCCGATCAGCTTGCATTTCGACTGTGATACTTTTCCAGCTCAAAATGCTTGAATTTAAAATGAAAATGAATGGAAATTGCGGAGATGGAATCGCGACGATCAAATCGCGTGCTCTGCCCGAGGCCTTAGATGGACCTAATTGCAAGAAGGCCCTACATGCCAGATACTAGGGCACCCAAAAAAATTGTTTTCAGCTAATTCGATCCTACTCATAAGATAATTTGTTCAAAGTATAGCAGTTTTTCATATTGTTATCGGTAAATACCAATATGATCATCTAACGGAGAAGCTAGCGAGATACGGTACCTCCTGTTCTCCATGATGTACTTCACCGACGAGGTGATGTGGTTCATGATTGACTTTCGCATCATCAACGAGTTCACCATCGATATGACGATGTTCGACCATCATATCTGGATGATGTGTGGGCATATTCGGATCCTGCATCATTTTGTTGCACTGAAATATAGAAACATATTAGTTGTGTATCGATTGATGACGTTCCACAAAATCCCACGTCGACAATATTTGCCTTTTTCTCTAACTTACTCCCCGTTTTGCTTTTTTCGACATCGTTTATGCGAAAAATAACCCCTACTGCGCGACTAGAACATTAGTTGGATACTGTACCGCGGATGATACGATAATAAGGATGTCTTGACATACAGTATCTCGAGACGAGGAAAATTCAGCACGGCAAGTTTGTAGACGCAATCTCTACTAAGAGGCAAAGGAATTTGCTCAAATGTGGTACATTTATGCTTTTTGAGGCTTATTTCCAAGCAAAATTGAAGAAAATGGAAAGCGAAGCCTTCAAAGTATCGAGCGCGTGCGAATGCAAGCATTACCGAAATTTGCAGTTTAGCGCGTTGGAAGGTGTGTCGTAGAAAAGCTTTATCAAACTTTTGCAAAATTCTATTCGCTTGAACGCAAAGCTTTGCATTCTGGTAATGCGAATGTGCTCAAAGCGGATACAATATTCCATGCTCATCGTTAGCTATAGTCAAAAGAGCAAGCCTTTATTTTGTTAATTTCGGAGGACGTACTTACGTGATGACAAAGCTGGCGTGTGATTGATCGATAGTAACACTAACACTGCCAGCAAATGATTCAAAGTGATTTTTGTTTTTCACAGTGAATGTAGTTCCCTTTGTTTTAGTTGAGTAATGTCTGCTGTGTAACAGGTAATGGTGTGAGCGAGTTTAGAGAGCACCAAATGGGTTGATGCTATGTTTGGAACTAAATTCATCAGAGGATTTTTGGAAGTAAATCTCGCTCGGTTTGCAAACTTCATGAATTTTGAAGTAAAAACACATAGACCCTATTTCATTTGCATTTTAAGCAATTTTCTTGGATTCAGTCAATCTTACATCTTTCTGTATTTTTTGTTTATTTTCGCTACTTATCGCAATTTTGTTTTCGTTGCTTCTACATGAAGTTGTTTACCGTAGGTAGAAATAATTGCACGTTTCACAGGTCAAAATGAATCGTGCCTTAGTATCTCGCGTCATGGCTCTCCGTCGGACGCTGATGGTGCATCCAAAGCGTTCCGGCTCTGGAGGAGGACATCATGAGGTTAGTTCTAGAAGTGAAATTTTGATTTCTTTACTGAATGTTCTCTTCACTTTATTCAATTCAAACTTACTGAGTGTACGTGGATTTTTTCACTGTTCCTGGTGGGCACGAAATTTCGATTTTGCTAGAATTTGGTGAAGGGTCTTTACGACATGCTGATTACTCTTCTATATTTCGGAGTTTATCGTCGATAACTTAAATGTTGTGTCCAACTCACTTGGCTGCTCTGTTCTTTGAAGGCAGAGCGGATCGGAAAATGAATTTTTGTCAGTTTTGGTGATGTTAGATACTAGCCCCGGGGCTGTAGCCTCGCTTCCATACTCCACATCATGCACCCTCTCCCCAAAAGCATTTTTAAAGTACCATTCAACCACTCATCGAAGGGGGCGTCAGTTGGATTCCGAAGGGCTTCTGGATCTAGCGCATGGATTGGGGGTGAGAATGAAGCTGCACTGTTCTTGCAGGGTTATGTAACACCACCAAAGACGAGTGTCAAGGTTACCTGACCACTTCCTTTGAGTGGAATTATGCGCGAGCGGTTGTCGTGAAGAATGGGGAATCACGCTTAAAGGCAGTGTCCGGGCAAAAACTCGATCTTGAGATTTTGTGCTTACCCGGGCCTATTCGCTACACTGAATCCGAAAATGCAAATTGGAGAACGCGAAAACGGCCAAAAATGGCCTTAACACAGGAGGGAAATCAGCAGGTGGGCGGGGTCCTCCCCAACGTGAAATCACGCTCCCAGCTTCCGGAGCGATCTTCTCGCTGCCGGTTTGAAGTCAATCATTCGCACTTGGCCAGTAGGGGTGTTAGAACAACTAACGGAATCGAGAAGACTGCTCTGAAAGCTGGGAGCGTCGATTCACAGTGGGGAGGACCCCGCCCACCTGCTGATTTCCTTTCTGTGTTATAGCCATTTCTGGCCGTTTCCACGCTTTCCAGTGTGGATTTTCGGATTCAGCATGGCGAATAGGCCCGGGTAAGCACAAAATCTCAAAATCGAGTTTAGAGGCAGTGTCCGGGCAAAAACTCGATCTTGAGATTTTGTGCTTACCCTGGCCTATTCGCTATGCTGAATCCGAAAATCCACATTGGAAAGCGCGAAAACGACGAAAAAGGGCTCTAACACTGGAGGGAAATCAGCAAGTGGGCGGGGTCTTCCCATTGTGAATTGTCTCTCCCAGCTTCGGGGGCGATCTTTTTGATTCCGATTTCAAGTCATTCGTTTGCACTTGATCGGTAGTGATGTCAGAACGGCTAACGGATTCGAGGAAATTGCTCTGGAAGCTGGAAGCGTAAATTCACAGTGGGGAAGACACTGCCCACTTGCTGATTTCCCTCCAGTGTTAGAGCCCTTTTTCGTCGTTTTCGCGCTTTCCAATGTGGATTTTCGGATTCAGCATAGCGAATAGGCCCGGGTAAGCACAAAATCTCAAATCGACTTTTTGCCCGGACACTGCCTTTAACAACGGGGGTTGATAAAAATAAGGTGTTTGCACACTCACTTCCTTATAAATTTGTCGCAATCGGGGTCCCAACGTACGTTTGCGGGCGTGGCTTCATATACGCCACATCTATGGGAGCGGCCATAGGTTCGCAGTGTTCGCGGTGTTCGTGGTGTTCGCGGTGCTTCGGAGATCGCTGCTCATGTCCCCGCACTGCGGATGCGTAGTTTGCTGCGGAAAGGGAGCACATAGTTGGCGCGTACTGTAAATGCTGTGCCTTTCCAGCATGCTGAATAATTTACTCCGAAATGTAGAGGTTTTTTTTTTCTGGAAACTACCGCTTGTTTCACGAATTGTTCATAGAAAGTGCAGTGCCTGAAACGGGTAATTGCGCGCTACCAGAGTACATGATGGAAGAGGTGGTTTTGATGAAATGGCGAATGAGCATTGTTATTTGCAAATTGTTCACAGTTTTGGCACATCTGCATCTCCTTAATAAGGACTCGCTCAGTCTGGTGAATATCTCGCGGTCTCAGAGAAGTACATTCTAGCCTTTAACCTTAATTTCGTTTCCGTGTAGAGGGAAAAGCTTAATTTCTGTTTAGCCCGTGCCTACTAGAGCAATGAAGAAAAAACTGCATCAACCGTGGTTTTAATATCTATCTTGCATCTCTGTGAAATGAAACTAAAAAATACAGGATTTGCGTTGTTGATAATCTAAATTCTCTTAGATTATGAACCCTGGTCCTCCAGTCACATACGACTATGTGCCAGTGCCTTTCCAACCCTATGGAAAGGTGTACGCCGAGTTGCAACAAAAATTCAACAGATACCTCCTTATTTCTACCGCAATGTTTGTCACATCAATTGCACTTGTAAGTACATTCATTCTTTTTCTTCTGTCGAGAAACATTTTTGAAGTTATGAATTGCAGGCTATCTACACCGATTTGTTCGCATGGGATGCCCTCACTAAGCCTAGCAGCTACCGAAACCGCCACAAGAATAACTAACATGAATGATGAAAGATTAGCGTTGTCATTTTTTTATTAGGTGCAGTGCTACCTCTGTATGAAATAAAGATTATTAGTTGGGCATCCTATTTTCGTATTGAGATCTAGGTTTCCAGCCTTTATTTGTGGGAAATACAATGCCTACTCTGCTGAACTCCTTAAAGAATATCTGGTATAAGGAGCTGGAAAGACGCTTTGAGCACTCTTGTGACATATTTCCTTCATGTGAATTGTTCGTGTTCTGGTTCAGCGGTGGGCTGCTGGCTCTTTGCCATTCACGAGATCGATGGCCGCTCTGCAGTAAACATGATGTTTTCCAAAACGCTATCCAATGCATGCTGATCCTCTTCCTCTTTTCTCTTTTTTATCATGTTTCTTCAAAGTGCTGCAGGAGTCAGCGATTTTGTGGGGGGGGGGGGTGCTGACCTACTTTACCTAATTGCGATAGGCTCACGACTCATTTTAGAGGGTTTTGGGTGATGCAAACTTCTCTATGTATACGATTTATCTCTCTTCTATTGCTCTCAACTCTAGTCGTGCTCTATACGAGATCATTTGTATTCAATACCAAAAGTCAAAAAATTTGTTTCGCAGATTCCCTTCCCTTTTTATAATTTAGATACTCAGCTTTTGTCTTAAACCGATGAGGTATAGCGGTCCTGTTTTCTTTACGGATTGACAGGCTTGTTGTGCGGGATTACGGTATTATAGCACTAACAGTTCATAGGTTTCATATCTGATTAGTGTTTCGGTGGTAACGACAACATTTGAGCGAAAATACAGTCGAGTAGATTTAGCGGTAAATATAGTGTGCTTGCACAGAAGGTGAAATGCGGTGAAATTTGCGCGTGAAAAAGTAGCCACGTCGGTACCGCGAGTATCTTGCGCGCGCAATTGGCCGGCATCACAGTCGAAACTATTTCTTCACGCGCCAATTTCACCGCTCACCTTCTGTGCAAGCACACTATATTTACCGCTAAATCTACTCGACTGTAAATGCCACTCGTAAATGCCTTCAAATTGCATGTGCCTTGCGATTAAAGGTAAGCCATAGAGCAGAGATTGCCATTGTTGACGCGCAAAGGTTGTCGGCATTGCAGCAACACCATTTTAGCTGTCACATCTACTAGGATATGAATAAACTCTGTGCTTATCGTGTTACCAAATTACTGCATGACGTGCTCAATTTAGGAAAATTAGGTTTTCGTGTCGGCTGATCCATCAGAATGGCTGCCGACGATGTCTCACAGACTTCGGAGCAGCAGTTACGCACGCTTCAATTCAAGGACAAAGTGTCTCTGCTGAATAAGGAATTTATACGGCAACTGCAGGAATGGTACAAACAATGCGCTCATTATGATTTTGTAAGTTTATTTTGTTCTCAGACATTTTCATGTATTTTGCGTTATTTTAGTCGAATTATTTTAGTCGAATTCTGTCAAGTCCTATTTGGAACATATGAAAAGACTGGATGAAATGTATTCTGGAAAGCCTTCGGTGAAATCTACAGATAATTCCGCAACTCCGGTAGCATCGACATCAACACGGGTGATAGCAAAGGTGACGATATCGGTTCTATATTTTTTGATGTTGAACAAACAAGGCTTACGCTTACTCGTTGGCTCGCGATGGTCCAAATTCTTTTCGATATCGCTTGTAGAAGTGTTTTACACCGCTTATTCTAATATTATTGAGTTCTGTGTTGATCTCTAGTTCCATAGTTGGGCGATGCAAGCGCTACCGTAAAACATTCTATAGTGCCTTACCTTTTTTTTTCACTGTAGATGGGCGAAAGCTGTCATTCTCATGTTATGTTTCTAGGCTAAGCGTCGGTTATCTAACGCAGCAAAAGACAGTGAATTGAACGATTCGGTAAAGGTCTCAACGCCAGCAGGTGCCCCACCGCGGTTCAGCTTGGGAGGGTAAGCTAACATACATGTTCTTCACTTCATAAATCTTCTTTCCTCTCATTCAGAAACGTATCGGTAATCAAGCCAAATCTGGATACTACATTGACGGCAGCAACTCCCAAGGTAGTTTGACTCTGTTTTTGAAGTTTTTCTCAAGAGGTTATATCCTAGGCAAATGATGCAGCTGCTACATCGGGAACGGCTGCTGCTGCTGCAGGTGGTGCTGGTGGAAGGAAACGAGCGATTCGTGGTGGTGGACCAGCGGGAGGAGCTGAAACGGTAGTGTTCCGCGGTACCGACTCATCTAGTAAGTTTGCGTTTTTTTTGGACCTCGAGCTATGGTGGTAATTTCAATATGTAGGTGTTTCTTCCGTGCATGTGCCTCTCCCGACAACAAACTTACCGAAACCAACGCCAGGATTCTGGTCAAGTCAAAAGAAGGACTCTAATGAGTAGGTTGCGAAGGTTCTCATACAGTATTGCTGGCTGAGAATTTAGGAATGAGAATGCGAAGCCACTGAGCAGCGAATCTAATAATAAAGAAGATTCCAGTAAAGAACAAAACAAGAACTTCTTGTGAGTCACATTCGATTTATGTTTTTAATTTATTTTCAACTAGATGGCTTACCCGGCTCCGCCCGGCCCTGTCATTATTTTATTCGTAATCAACATGCTCGATTACCCCCCTGTGCCAACTTCCAGCCCCGTAGCTCAAATTTTGCAAAAAATCGATAAAATAGATATCGATCGATGACGAAATGTAGCCTATGACACCCGCCGGGGCCGAAGTGTATGTGTTTTGGTTCGGATCGGTTCAGAGATGGAATTTTCTATTCGGAACATACGTACACACAGACATACATATAAGCTCTTCCAAGACGAAGGCGGTCGGTTCAATGTGCAACGCGTCTGTGACACGGCTGCGTCACAGCCGCGTCACAGCCACGTCGCGCATCGAACCGACCGCCTTCGTCTTGGAAGAGCTTATACATACATACATACAGACAGACAGACAAACAGACATTCAGCTTTATATATAAGATGTCATAATTGCTGTGTTGTAGATAGGTGTAGGTCGAGGGGGTTTCAACTGAACTTCACCACTCTCGCCATAATCGGTTACCGCTGTTACATGGTTCATATCACTTCCGCCGTATTATCGGTACCACTGCTTCCAATAAGTGACCCTAACACGAATAATAGTTACACTGATCGAGTAGCAAATCTAACAAAGGTACAGTTGATAACGGTGACTATCGTAGCAGCTTCAACAACGAAAACCAGTGACAGCAAATTTTGGTAACACTTGATAGCGAATTTGGTTGACTTCTACCCATTATAGGACTGTTCCGGCTGTATCCTTTGGTAATGGCAAACCATTCTCGTTTGCTGCAGCAAAAGATGATAAGTAAGGATTCTGATCTACCATTATAGATTGTCCTGGCATCCATTACTTATTATCTCTTTTACTTAGTTTTTCATACAAATACTCTTAAGGGCAGCATCTTCGGAGGCTTCGGGTGATAAGAAGAATGCTGATACCACGGAACCAGAAAAGAAAAAGTGATCTTTCCATAAAAACTTCTTTTTTTTGAAAAATCACAACTTATTATAGACCATTAACCTTCCCTAGCTTTGGTGCGAAGAAAGATGAAGAGTCGTCCGAGAAGAAGTAAGTATCAGTTTTCGTTTTCTTTATGAAGCAAATGTTCAATATCAAGACTCTGGTGGCATGTGAGATTTTCTTAGGCCTACGTTAACGTTCCCAACTTTTGGAGCAAAGAAGGATGAAGAAGGCGGTGAAAAGAAGTACGTTGTTTTACGACTCTTGTACTTCGCCAGGTTCATCGCTGACTTGTTTTAGATCTACATTGACGTTTCCCTCATTTGGTGGTGCCAAGGACAGCAAAGAAGGTGATAAGAAGTAAGTTCAAGAAGATCCTTTACGAACACTATTACTTCACGCTTGCCAAACTTGGAGGAAATTTTTCTCTTGTTTCCTGATAACTCAATAGTAGGCCTTTTCTAACGACATAGTTTTCAGACCAACCCTGACTTTCCCGACGTTTGGAGGCGGAGCCAGCACTACAACATTCGGAGGTGGAAGCACCACTGCACCCAGCGCCCCTTCCGGTGGTCTGAACTTTTCTTTCGGCACTTTGCCCAAGTCAAGCACGGAAGGAACAGAGTCGAAGGGAGAAGGTGAAATCATTTTATGACCCATTTTGTGTTGTAGTAAATGTCTGTATCTTAGAAGAAGAATATGTCCCACCGAAAGCAGAGGTAGTTGAAAATGAGGAGCCTGGAGCAACGTTTTCATCGAAGTAAGCTAAAGTTTTTGTTGCGAGAGTTGATATCTAACACTTTTTTGACCCGATAACTAATAATTTTTTGTTGATATTTGTAGGTGCTCCGTATTCAAGCTTGTTGAGAAACAGTATACAAAATTGGGCGTTGGAATGTTGCATTTGAAGGAAATTGATGGGAAGAAAAGCGTGCTAGTGCGAGCTGCGACCGCTATTGGTAAGTTGTTGTGCGTTCGATATATTAATAGCTTAGCACACTTAACGATTGATATATGTAGCGTTTTTGCATTGCGGAAAATAGTTGCGCTGGTATGCGCTTCATGGCCACCAGGCAAGTTGTCTGCATTCACCAGCCATTCACTTCTGCTCAAATGTGTCATCATCGCAGCGACACTAAATCAACCATCAAGCTACCAGATTTTACCCATACTTAGAATTTTATTGGCGAAATTTTGGAAAAAACATCTTTTAGAAGTAGTGCAGTTTTCTTGATTGCAGCTATCGCTTGCTATTTATTTATAGTTTCTTCCATCTGAGTTAGTTTTGAAGCAAAGCTATTTTTTAGGTACCGTATGGATCAACGCACTAATGAACAAAACGATGAAAGTGGCTAAAGCTGACGAGAAGGGAGAGAAAATCAGAGTGAGTATACATATAGTAATCATCTGCACTGTAGAAGATTTCTCGCTCTATCGTGTACTTGCGCTGCCGAGATGGGCGACCAACTTTGCGCGTGAAATTAGACACGCAATGTCGTTGTATTGCGCGCTCAAGTGGCCTGACAGGCGTAGAGTTTTCCACGCGCAAATGGTCATCAAATCTCGGCACCATAAGCACACTATATTGAACCAAATTTACTGGGCTGTAAATTGACTTTTTCACACATTACTCTGCGCAATCGTTTGTTTTTTCAGTTGATCTGTCCTGCAAGTGAAAAAGAAATCTGCACATATGTCATACGTTTCCCTTCGACAAAGGAGGCAACGAAAGTGCGCGAAGAGATTGAAGAGGCATCAAAGTAATGTGGTGATAGTACTTGTTTCTTCATATTTTGGGAGAATTTTTTTTTGTTTTAGAATATATCAGATTGTACTTGTTGACTTGATCATGTTAGTTTTTTATGTGTACTGCTGTACGAGTTGCGACAATACTCAGTTCGCTGTTAAACTTACGCTCCTTCTTGCTTCCGTGCATGGGTAATTTAGCGGATCCTCGTTATCATATATGGGAAGCGTTAGGCCCAGGCAGACTTCACGCGATTTGATCGTCGCGACTGAATCGCGAGGAGATAACTTACAACATCATTCCATGCTGACCAACTTTCATTCGGTTGTGATACTTTTCCAGCCCGAAACTTTTGAATGTGAAATGAAAATGAATGGAAATCTTGGCGATTAGATCGCGACGATTAAGTCGCGTGAAGTCTGACCGGGGCCTTAGCGTGGAAACAATAGAACTTTGAATATTTTCTCAGATAGGGTTTCGATCTCGAGTGCTGTCGCTTAGTTGTTCACGTGCTTAACCTGTTGATTGAATTATATCGCAATAAAGAACACTTTGCCTTCCAGAGTTTATACGGAAGTGGAGAGCACTTTGATGAAGGCCACCTCGTTAATTTCGTGGGAATCCCAAGTGCTCAAATTTGATTTCTCATCCATTTTTTTGCTTTATGTAGAATTTTTCATGATGTGGCAAAAGTGGGAGTTAAAAGCGTGAAGTCCACAAAAAATCTCCTCTTGACAGTAGCGGACCGAGGGGCGGAGCGGAGGAAAAGGGTGCGAATTTTTGTTTATTGCCTGCATGGTCCTGAAAATGCGCAAGTGACACATGTTTGTTGCACGTGAGTAAAACAATTTCAGAAGATTCGAATTAGCCTTGAAGAAGTTCTACTCATATGGCTGTCACCGCGCACACAACTTTGAATTGTTTGTATTGTTTTGAAAAGCATTAATGCCCCGCCCCTTCATAAATTCCCCCCCCCCCCCCCAAAAAAATTCATCGGATCCCCTCTGTATAGCGGACGAGTAAATGTTAGCCTTGTCGAAAGCAAGCATGAACACGTTGGACAGTATATTCGATTGTTACGAACGCGTCAAAAACTAGTGAGATCTCGTCCCATGGGGAGGGCGGCGCATTAGAGCGGGCGGTCCTCACAAGGCTGTAGAGTTCTGCGCGCCGATATTTTCCTTTCAGCGGGAGTTTGGTGTCCGGTTTTCTGCAGTAGTCTTAATCCGAGGACTCCGGAAGAGTTCAAAATCGCCTAAAGGACGGGGGGTATGGTGCAAGAGGAACGATAGTGATTGCTAGCCGCTGGTGCCAATGCACTATTTGCATTCACAATTCGCAAATTTCAAACTTATAAAAAGTAGTAGATATAAAATAGTAGATATGAAAGTAATACTCTACTCAATATACTTGATAAGTTTTGCTTAAATCCGGTGGTATATGCAATTCGGTGATGTTCTTGCAGTAAATAAGCTTAAAATACTTGAAGTTTCACATTTGAAACCCTTTTTGACATTTTCAGCAAATTTTCACACCTCATTTTCAAATAAACACAATCTTTCCTAATCTCCTGTCTAGATGAAAGCATAAAAGAAGGAAATGCTTTAAATATCTGTGTGCTGATGGACAAAAATGACGGTGAAGTATGCGCGAGTTATTGACACCCACCGGCTATCGTTCCTCTTGCTCGCCACCCGTCCTTTAATGGTCTCCCTACCTGAGAGCCTGGACAATCCTTCATCAGCCAGAGAAATGAGCAGTTAATCATCTCTAGCTGTTTCATATTTTTTACTCCAAGAGGGACACAAAACCACGAGAAGAAATGTTCTGCACACAGAACATCCACTGGATGTCAGTTTACCTCAAACACATGTAACAGCTTCTTTTGAAGTTGGTCGGCATCGCTTTCGTCGCATATATAGAAAAACTTCGCTCTCTGCGATTGTTCGTCTATTTCGCATACATAAGCATTTCAACCCGATCCCTCGATTTCCTATGTGCGTCACCGAAACCGGGTCTCGTCGGGGATTTCCAGAATAACTGATGAAGTTGATGATACAATACAGTGGCTTTCCACTTGCACGCCTGTCTCGTGTAGAAAAATTCGGCCTAGAATGGCCTTTGTGTCTACCGCTCCTGAAAAGCCTTAGCTTTCCATTCACAGTGTCACCTTTTAGATGCCCATTTGCGCTTGAACAGTTTAACGTCAGTGGTGTAATAAATAGCGGTCGAAGCCTTTTCCTTTGTTTATTTGCTATACTATGGCGACTTGCACCAAACCATCGTGCTTTTTTCTTACATCTTTATGTCTTCAAGTTAACCTTTATTAGTATGTTTACCTATCGTGCGCACAAAAATTGTAGGCAAGCTTTAGTCATTCACAAGGACTAGTATTCAAAGCATGTTTTTTATTAAGTCTCTTAGAATATTGGAGCTTTTGAAACTGTAGTTATTATTTTATTTTTCATGCACATTTTACTCACAAAGGGGGTCCGGTTAGTCGAAGTTGCGTTTCCGAATGACTTTTATGCCACTTTGAAGAGCATTAAACACTGATCCCAAATCTGATTTCATTACCTGCCGAGCGCTTCTGCATGTCGAATTATGAATATTTTCTTGGTGCAAAAAATTAACGTATAATTTAAGTAAAAGAAAATTTTACGGTCTTTTCAGCGCTCAAATAAAACAGTGTTAAGTATGAGTGCTTTAGACAGAAGGTATTGAAGGTATTGTTCAGATAAAGTGCTTTCATAATCAGCATTGGACCATTCAAGCAGTTCTGACGAATTTTGCCCTAATTATGCATTTAATTTCTCAACTCAAAAATAAAACGCTCATAACTCGATATACAGAGGCGCTCGGCAGATAACGAAGACAGATTTAGAATCTGCGTTAGATACTCTTTATAGTCGTGTCATTTTCATGTGAAAAGGCCACTTCGACCGAAAAGACCTCCATTGTCAGTAGAATTTGTAAAAACACCGAGACAAACAAATTTTCCCTTTGCATTCATTTCTGGGAAGTCAGCAGGAAGCATTATGTCTTCTTAACATGTAGTATGTTTGCGGGAGAATTGTATTACATGATGTTTACCAATGAAATCTCAAGAAATCTTGAGAGAGGTTCATACGCAAACAAGGTGGGTCTATCTGCCTATACTTTGCTACATAAATTTTTTCAAGAGCAAATGAATACAGAAGTGTTCGTCGAAAGAGGCAAATTCTACTTTTGTGGGCACTCGACTTTTCGCAGCATTTTATTGCAAGGAAAAAACACCATAAAACTCGAACTGATGCCATTGTTCGACCGACATGGTTGCAATAATAAATGTTTCTGATGTTCTACTTAATAGGGTAATCTATGGTAATCATGACTAAGGGTTCAATCGTTTTTTATAATTTGTTGATCTGAGAGGTCTTTTTTGCTGAGCAATGGTACAATAGAAAGCTAAAGCTACAGCTAAAGTGCCAAAGAATTAGTATTGTCGTCCTTGTTTGACCAATAACTTCATCTCTTGAAGTAGCTATTAGTTTCTAATCAAGCTTTAGTTCAGATTAATCACACATCACCGGGTTCGCTTAATCTCCACAAAAATTAAGAAAAATGTAGACAAAATGAAAATGACAATGGTCGGATATCCCATCCTGGGAATGAAACTTTGTACAAAACTGTCCATGTTGTGTGTTATTTGAGATTTATGCAGAAAAGTAAAATAAATGCATGCTAGAAAAGAAAAGAAAAAACTTTTTATTTCCGCTTATTTACATCATGATCTTCCTTTCTTAAACCTAATCAACCAATATTTCTAGTACTGTGTGACTTGTGCCCAATTGTAAGTCAATCATCTCATATTCACGATTTTGGCGCAGATGAAACTCGCAAATTATTGCTACAGACAAAGCTTCTCGAAAACTCAAGTTCAGAAAAAAGAGAAAATTCCAGAAACCCGCCAACCTGTTATCAGTGTCTTCCTGGCTCTTCAATAGCTCTTGCAATGACTACCATATCCTGCAGATTTTTCTCTAACCGAGTTCTCTCGAACTGTCTCGTTTCCGCTGAGACACTTTTCGCTAATTTCGGCGAAAACTGAGCTGAGCGGGTAATCGGGTGATCTGTTCGCCAAACCAAACCCGGAAAGTGGTGTTATAAATCAACTCCGAGAGTCAAACAGTCATGGGAATTGATCTAGGCGAGAGCTAGCTTTTAGGAATACATAAACCAAATTTTACTGCTAACCAACTAGGTTGACCTGATAACCGATTTACCACTCGTCGTAGAAAAAGTATGCTAACTGATAGATAACGTAAATTCTACAATCAAACCCCATAGGACATTGACCCCCCCCCCCCCCCCACTTTCTGCAGCCACTCAAGCTTTGTTGATAGGAATCTACGTATCTATTCTGTATAGGAATCTCTACGTTATTCTGTTTTGTTTGTTTACAAGCAGGAAGTAAAGAAACAGATGGGCGGATCAAGCTGATCTCTGCAAAACTAGCCCTATTCGTTGGACGAGTTTCGACAGTGTTCTTGCCTGTAATCATTTAGCCAAACATCCGCATGTGCTCAATGTCGAACACAATTTTTGTGAGCGAATAGTAATCGGGCTAGTACGCAAACATAATCACTCAGTAATGTTCATATAAGTTAAGACATTTTTACAAGAATTTCGAATAGTCTGTTTTTGTTGGTATTTTATCAAAACCTCGGGTATAAATAAAACAACATATAATCTCCACAGTTTTCTCATTTTTTATTTGAAAAAGTTCAAAGAAAAAAATCTGCGACGTTTTTGACCTAACCATCATATTTTCTCTTTACAGAATCTTCGTAATAACTAATTCTAATATTGTTTTGGCTCTTGCTGAACGTTTCCGGTGCGCTGCTCATTGTCAAATTATTTGTGAACATCTTCATGGATTTTTGTTGATAATTTTGAAGAAAAATCCCACAACCAGGGCATTGGCTTCTATCCTTTCCTAATGAATGTTTTTGCTGGTATGGACTCAAAATACTTTTCAGACTTGAGAAAATTATTATATTGATGAGCGCAAAGATCAATTGTCTATTTCTCCGTGCAATCATCGAATTCCCTATTTCGATCTTTCTTTTGTCTGTCTGCTATTGTCTGTTTCTATACTGTTGATATTGTCAATTGCTGAGGGTGCCGAGAATTGCACATGTACCTCTTGTCTTATCCTATTTTTGTTTTAGTAATTTATTTTTCAAAAGTAAAGGCTCGCTAGATTTTTACGCTGATCCAAGCCGGTATTGAATAGGTGAACATGACGATGCTTTCAGGCTTTAAAGTCTTTTCCTAAATAAAAATTCACTTTCAACATCTACTTTTGCACATACCCGGATCAGACAATGTGTAACCTTATGATGTCCTCCTTTTGTTCGATGTCTGAGTGATTGGATAGTTTGATGTTGACAGTATAAATGTTTACTACTATAGTCTGGACTTTAGAAGAAAACAAGTTGAGCAAGAAGTTACAGAAAGTGCAGTGTTTTTGACTCGGATGCCAAAGATCTGCGGTATTTATCTCTATTGTCAAACAGCCCTTTCAGCATTCTTTGGCTCTAACACGTACTGACCGCTAAACAGTTCAATTCCTTTAGGGCTCGTCAATTATATAAAAGCAGTATATGCGCACAAAATTTGTTCTCGTATGAAGGTGCGTGGCATTAGCCACGCAGTCCAGAATTTTTTCTTGTGTACTTCCTGAAATTTTTGCGTGCTCATGATTCCAAAAATTCAGCAAAAGGGGTTATTGACGGGTATAAGCAAGTCACTTGCACATTTTCATAATTCATGGCGATTTTGTTGTTCTTCTGTAATAGTGATTGCCTAAAAGCTTATTAAAAATGTCTAATTTTCATCGAAAAAAGGGAAAATATCGCATTTATGCTTAAACAAGTAAAAATCGGCTGAGAAGGGAAAAAGAGTTATAAAGTGCAAATTCATTCTCATACTAGTCAACCAGTTGTCTAAAGGTGCTATATGCAAAGTTCGCTTCGGGACCCGCCGCGGTTTCCCGCTGTTAGAAGGTTTTTGAATTGAGCTAACGATTCTTGCACAGGGTGTCATAAAAGTAAGTACACACTTTTCAATCGTTAAAATCTCCCTTTCCTTGCGTCTTTTTCCGCTATTCAATTACCATTCTATAGAAAAGGCTTCAATTTAGTTTTGCAGTCTCGAACGAATCATCGATCGCCTTTTATACTGTAGGATTACTGTAGGAACTTCGACAAGGATTTTAGGCTATTGGAAACCATAGTCTGCTTCGGGACAAAACCAATGAAAACACTTGCAAAATGCTGCGTAGTGGAACCAGCGTGCGCGAAAACCCCAGTACACGATTTTTCAGATTTTTTGAAAAATTTTTAGTCAGATAGCATATTTTACATTGGTTCCACATGCTGGAAGTTCTTACCGTAATCCTACATTAATGAAGAGTGATCGGTGATTTGACCGATACAGTAAATCTAAGTTGAAGCCTCCTCTACAAAATGGTAGCTAAATGGCGGAAAAAGACACAACGAGAAGGGAATTTTTACCGACTGAAAAGTGGTACTTGCTTTTGGGACACCCTGATAAGATCGCTATCTTGCCATCGAAGTTCGCTGAATTACGGTAATGGGTGGGCGTGGCTTGTTTGCGATTCCTGCGGATCGCCTACTGTCTATTTAGCGGAGCTTGTCTAGTTATTCCCACCAAGTGCTTCAACGAATAAATCATTTTCCGATTGAAAAACGCTTACTTGGCATTTTAATAAGTCGTATCTTCCTCCAATGTCCGAAAAAAAAAACGATCAATAATTGATTTTTTATCGCGTAATGATTCCTACTTCTTGCTTGATCCTACCAACAACCTTATCTACACAAATAATCTCTCCGTTGTCAATCGATAATCTATTTCTAATCAAATTTTGAATTTCAATTTCAGACAACATCCACCCACGTATATGCGAAAATGCCATCATTTCGCGTTACGGTGTTACGATTTTGTCGTGAGAACACACTTTTGGTCATGACAATCGTTTCTGTGATACTGGGTGTTACGCTTGGGTTTGGGCTACGACCACTAAATTTGTCAGCTGAAACATTACAACTGATCAATTTTCCTGGCGAAATTTTCATGCAAGTGCTCAAAATGATGATTCTACCGTTGATCTTCTCATCGCTTATTTCTGGTGAGTTTTTCTGTTTTTATCTCTCTCAAATTGTCTCTACATGTATGATGTGCCTGACTGCTTCAGTAGCAATTAGTAATAGTTTCTTTCAAGTTGTGCTATAGTTATATTTTTGACAGGGGAAGCCTTGGCTTCTCGCAATCATAATTCTCTTTTCAATACATCTGAGAATCATCAAAAATAAGATGCGCCTTTTTTGACGCCAGCAACTAACAACAAAAAAATGTACTTAGCACAATTCCATTTATTTATCAGCAACTGTTATTCCCAGGGCGGCTCGGCACGGGGTGACTAGTTAAAAATGCAGTAAGCGAAGTCCCTTTGACTTTGCGAGTTTTTACGAAGTCCCCTTTGACTCTAGCCCATAGTCCTTCGAAAATCTCCAAAAAACGAAATTGACTAAGAAAACAAACGTTTCCAATTTCGTGTCTTTTCGGCTACGAAAACGAAACTCCCTTTGCTAAAAACTTCCCAGCTTGCTTGTAAGCCACCTGTGCCGAGCCCTGATTATTCCCTCAACAGAAAAATTAGGTCTGAAGCTTTTCATCGAATTTCGTAGATCGACTACCTTAAAAGAACCAAAATATATCAAGTCTAGCATGTGATAAAATAGAAACGTTATATATTGCACATTGTTAGATTCACAATTTTCGAAGCTTTATCACAATATAGAGTTCAAATATGCAAAAAACTACTTGAATTTTACAGGGGGTGAGTGAGGTCATTATCACAGATATTGGATCCATATTTTATTGTGTGTGAATGGGGCGCTACCTGAAAGAACAAGAAGGCGTATCAGTATATCGAACCCCCTTCTCTTACCAACCATGCAATTATTCCACTTCACTGCTTACCGTACACCTATCGTACCTCGCCAAAAAACCTAAGCATGGATGGATGTCAATAATCTGAATAACGTGCTAAATAACACACATGCACGTACTAAGAATATGTTACCGTTAGGTCTACAGATTTTGGGTAGTGCATTCGGAAAAGTATCCTGTTGGTTAAAAAGAGAGTATAGCACTTCTCACATACCAAACCCGTGCTATGCCCACTATGACACATGCGCCGTCACTGTTAACATTACTAATTACCAAGATACGATGACGTGATTGGCGATTCATCGGAAATGAACTCTAGACGTAATAATTGCTGTATCTGGCGCAGTGGGAAGCGTATTTGGTCACAAGAGCCTTGAACCTGAAGTTCTGTGACGTAATCAGTCGCTTGGAGTGTAGAATGTGTTTACTCTAATCAGTTCACTAAATATACCCGATGAAAGTACAAATGCTGTAGAGTTGCAAAATAAACGCAAAAATTTTTTCTTATGTGACCTGGACTTGCAATACTGATTTCCAGGTTAGCATCTGCCAACATTGATCATTTTGGAATAAATAACACAGATTGTGAAAGGATGAATGAAAGATGCTAGCAAAATATTCGAAATGGGCAGATTCTACACTTTTTTCCAGAAAAAAAAATGAAATCAAAGTTTTTTAGCTCTGGCACAAATGGACGCAAAAGAATCTGGTCAAATGGGATTGGCAACTGTTCTTTACTACCTCACCACTACAGTATTAGCGACTTTGGTGAGTTTTATAAACTTTTGAATTCTTTTCAAATACGATTCCATGAACTTTTTTGACCATTAATCTTGGGAATATTCATTCTCTGCTGTAATTTTTCTGTTTTGAATGAAAACGGAAAATTGCTAAGAAATTGAAAGCACGAGATTTTATATTGCTAAATTTCTCCACAGTTTAAGGCCATTTTTTTTTGTGCACAATGTAAAGAAAAAATGAGATGAAACATCCAAATTTTTTGAAGATCTTTTTGAGTTGAAGACCGTATTGGATAGATTCACGACCCCCCCCCCTCCCCCATAAGCGTTGTTACTTTTTTCGCTATCCTCAAACTGCGATGATTGGGATAAGATAACACCATAGATTTATGTACTTCACTTGCAACAGTAATTATTTTCGCAAATTTTAGATTTTTTTAAAAACTCTGCACGATTAATTTGTTTAGCTCGGCATTTTCCTTGTGATGACGATCCATCCTGGTGATCCATCCATCAAAGCTGGACATCTTCCTGATGTTCCTGTAGACACCGAAGTTTCTCCTTTAGATACTTTTCTGGATTTAGTAAGGTAAACAAGATTTGATAGCTTGCGAAAACGATCAATAAATGATTTGTAGGAATATGTTTCCTGAAAATATTATCCAAGCGACATTTGAAAGAATGCAAACGACATATGTTGCACAAAGGCCGAAAATAGCTAAGAACGCTTCCGATCAAGTTATTATTATGAAAAAAGCGATTAGCACTACTCGTGGAACGAACATTTTGGGTGAGTTTCGTTACAATTTTTCCGTGAAATCTAGTGTGCAGTGCAAAAATTATCAAGTTATGGATGATTTATTTTACATATTATAAATTTCCTTCTAGTACCTTACAAAAGTAACCTTTAATTCAACTGGATTGGCGGCTGGAAGGCGGGGCTTTATGGCATAATTAAGGCAGCTCGTGCCCGCGACAGTCTGCGTCTCTATCGCGCGTGCTCTCTGATCATTCTGTAGTCCTAACTAGGTTGCGAAGCACCGCCTTCCAGCCGTCAATCCAATTGAATCAAAGGTAAGACAGTTTCATAAATAGTGTAATTTTTCTAAGAAAGGTATATAACGCACATGAAGATTTCTTACAAATTTTTATCCTTCTCTGTCAACTTCTACATGCTTATCCTAATAAAACTTGTGGAAAATTTTGAGTAAATGAGTAAGCGATCAAAAATGCCCTATTAAATTGTGCATATGAGTCATTTCAAGGTTTCAATAAATATTGGGATTTTTAGAACTTTTTACAAGTTACAGTTAGCTTTGTTAGGTTTTGTCATTGCAATTTAATAGATTCTAAAAACTAATATTGTATTCGGAATCCCCATGCTCACTTACCCCCCCCCCCCCCTGTGCCAACTCCCAGCCCCGTAACTCAAATTTTGCAAAAAATCGATAAAATCGATATCGATCGATACGAAAAGTAGCCTATGACACCCGCCGGGGCCCGAAGCTCACTATACCATGCCTTTTTTTTTCAAGGATTGAGCATTTTGACTCCCAAGAAATATAAAATCTTGGGAGCAACTCATTCTTTACGAGTTATATTTTAATTCTGCTTTTATTCTTCAGGCATAATCGTCTTCTGTACGGGCTTTGGTATAGTGATCTCACAACTTGGCGAACGTGCCAAGATTGTCGTTGATTTCTTTGTGATTCTTGATGCTGTGATTATGCGTTGGGTAGAGACACTTATGTGGTATGTAAGTCAATCAATAAGTTATTATATTTGTTGAAATCGGATTCCTTCAGGTTTGCTCCACTTGGTATAACATGTTTGGTTTGCGGAAACTTGTTAGAACTTGATGATTTATCGGATACTGCAAGTGTTTTGTTATTGTGGGTTTACGTTTATTGATCTACTAGCTGGCTTACCCGGCTCCGCCGTATGTTCCGAATGGAAAACTCCATTTCTTAACCGATCCGGACCAAACTTGGCACACATACCCTTCGGGCCCCGGCGGGTGTCACAGTCCAGTTTTCGTTATCGATCGATGTCAATTTTATCGATTTTTTTGCAAAGTTTGAGCTACGGGGCTGGGATTTGGCACAGGGGGGTAATCGAGCATGCTGATTACAAATATATTATTGACAGGGCCGGGCGGAGCCGGGTAAGCCATCTAGTTTCAAATAAGTTTGGAACGCTAATTCCAAATATGCTGTTTCCAGCTGCGGCGCGTTCTTCTGAAGGAAGTTACGAGCTTTTTTCTGTGCAATTGCCATATTTTCCCATATAGTAGGACTGCTTGTAGATGGAAATCTGCCTGAAGACGTGCTGGGATACTAAAATTGTGTCAGATTGAGTCTTTTTCGATTGACAAGAGACTTTATGTAGTCAATTAGCACTTAGGTGATGGTATCGTAACGCCAGTAGTCCCAGCCCCGTAGCTCAAACTTTGCAAAAAAATCGATAAAATCGATAAAAGTAATGCACGATTCTAAAAACTAATATTGTATTCGGAATCCCCATGCTCACTTACCCCCCCCCCCCCTGTGCCAACTCCCAGCCCCGTAACTCAAATTTTGCAAAAAATCGATAAAATCGATATCGATCGATACGAAAAGTAGCCTATGACACCCGCCGGGGCCCGAAGTGCATGTGTGCCAAGTTTGGTCCCGATCGGTTCAGAAATGGAATTTTCTATTCGGAACATACGTACACACATACAGACAGACAGACAAACAAACAGACATTCAGCTTTATATATAAGATTATCGATTTTTATCGTCTATCGTCACAATTTACTTTTATTTGGACCATTCTGTATGTTTGAGTTCAAGAACAACAATAAAAAACTCTATCTCGCTAGGGAAATCTTAAGGTGGCAGTCCATATATCAATCAATATATTGATTTTTCTAGATATGTGCTCACTGTAATCGCCGGCCTCATCTTGCATACGGTGATTACCTGTCCGATTCTTTATTTCTTGATCACAAGAAAGAATCCGATGTTCATCGTACGTGGTATGATGCAAGCAATTGTGACCGCTTTTGGAACTGCTTCTGGGTACGCAATCGCAGAACACACACTTGAGCTGCGCCTGCTCACATCTTTCAAGCTAATCAATAAGTTGCAGTGGTGCAACATTGCCGATGTCGATGCAATGTATGGAGGACAACTGTCACATAGATAGACGAATTTCACGATTTGTTCTTCCTCTAGGCTCTACGATCAATATGGTAAGTGTCGAATTAACGGGTTGAAAATGTGAAAGTGACTTGTTTATACTTGTAAATATATAAAACAATTTTCAAGTTTTTTCAAAAATTCAAATTAGCCTTGTAAACTTTTTCTGGGGTCATGAGCCATGAAAAATTTGGGAAGCATCCCAAAACATGCGACTGGTGGGTACCTAGACTTTTTGATGGTTATCAGGTAGGGGACCTTCATAAAGCCATTACTCAAGCAGCAGCTCATATAATTCAATTGTGGACACAAATTTCACCCTCAAACTCTCGCTCAGTACCGAACTCGAAAACGTTGATTAGTCCGAAAGACAGAAAGAAAAAAGAAAAGAAAGAGAGGTATGGGCGGGTTTAGACTTCTCAGGATTCTTAGATCGTAGGCGAGTTGTACGAGCTGCAGTTTGAAATGACTTATCCAACTTTACCATTCAATTCTCACATTAAAAGAACACTTATTAGTCCCCAGTTTTCACAAACACTGCCTTCGAGCAAACGTCCCGATAACGCACGATTACTGTTATGCGATAAGATAGTATACGGTGTATACAGGGCTTATCAATTGAGGTGTCGGGTGCACCAGCATCTCCATTCCCGCGCTGGACTCTGCGTTTCTTCCGGAACGTGTTCTCTAATCATTTCCAATCGATTGAGGCTCCGTCTTTCCCATGCTCGCCCTGGGAAAGTGCTCAGAGCGCATGTTTCGAGGAAGAGACGGAGATTCAAGCGCGGGAATGGAGATGCTGGTGTACCCGACACTTCTATTGATAAGTCCTATAGGTGCAACGCAGAAAAGGTATCTGCGGCAGTACTTACCTTTGTCCCTTTCAGGATGGGAATGCCCTCTATGAGGCAGTTGCCGTTATATTCATTGCACAGCTTAACAATGTTGAATTATCCTTTGCTGAAGTATTGACTGTAAGGTAAGGCAATTTCTAATTATCTTTTGAGGTAGGTAATAATCTAAAAAATGGCAATTTCAGTGTTACCGCTACGGTGGCATCCATCGGTCTTGGCTCCGTGCCAGCTGGGCTTGTTTCAATTTTGTTAATCTTGAACACTGTTGGATTGCCAATCAAGGATGTTTCGTTGTTGTTAACGGTCGACTGGCTGCTGTAAGCATGAACTAAAAATTGATTTTATTGACTAAACGAATCTGTTACAGCGACCGTGTTAGGACCTCCGTTAATGTGCTAGGTGATGGTTTTGCCGCTAGTGCGGTCGCTCATATCCTGCAGGTAGACAAAGTCAGCCATAGCAAAGAAGCGGAGTTTACTCTAGCTGTTTGCGCCTTACCCATAAAATTAACTAAGCATTTTTTATTTCAGAGACGATTAGATGTATCAGATGCTAGGCACGATTATCGAACGGGAATCAAGGAAGAAATAGGTTTGTTGAACCATTGCTCGGTACTAACTGGCATACTCGACTCCGTGTCCTTGTCAATACAGTTTGATAAAGGCTATCATTAATCACTTCTGTACAACATCTCCCTGTTCCGCTTCCATATGCCCCACTATGTTTTCGCAATCAGCACGCTACATCTCCGTAGCAAATCCGCTCCTGAGACCAAATTGCATCAAGTCGAAGAATCAATTGAATGCACTGAGCATTCTTTTCAAATCAATGTTACTTTTGTCATCACCGTGCTTACTTGACTCCCCCCCCCCCTCCCTCCGTACGAACTCCCAGCCCCGTAGCTTGAAGGGTATCGATCGATGACGAAAAGAAGCTTACGACACTTTTCCCTCCGCCTCGGACTTTATTCATGCAAAATTTACTTCAATTTCTTTTTGGATTGTACAGAAATACAGATAAACACACATACAGGCAAACAAACAAACATGGATCATATATAAGATCAGCCAGATAATGGGTGGTGGCTTGCCACCGAGTATTCAGACCACCGAAGACTATTGATCCTTCGATAAATCTCCATCCTAAAGCATTTTTATTTGTACTTTCTTTATCAAAAACCGCTACGCGTGTATATACGTCGAAGTGCTCCGTCTATGGCGAGCGAGCAAACGATGTATGAATGGGTCAAGTTTTAGTCATATGGTGGATCCGTGGATGAGATATCGATGCCATGGAGTTCATTTTCTGCTTCAACCTTGTTCCTGTTCTTTCGCATTATTCGCACAAAAGTGAAGAGCACTTTGCTTCTCCGGCCATGTTGCAGCAGGACCAAGTATTTTTCATCACGAGCGCGTTGCACAAATATAAACACCTCAGAGGATCAAGAGTAAGCAATACGGGAGAAGAAATTGATTATAAGTTGAGCAGTAGGCTATAATAGAATTTACCAATAAGGTTTGGTTATTGTAAATGGGTGCCACATATGGCGGTTTAGATTGTGTCATCAAATGGATGGCTACGAAGCGAATGGAGCGCAGTCTCTTTAATTTTATCCACCGTATTAACGTCTTTTCGGGCTTTGCCTCAGATATGACGAGAATATTCCGTCCTCCTCGTTTTCCAGCGGACATCGCAAAAGCGACAGAGACAAGACACATATGTGGACCGGTTATATTAGAGAAAAACAGATGACAAAATCTTACTGAACCGAATCCATTTATACGAACAAGAGCATCTGAATAGATCTTTTCGAAGCAAAACGTCAAAGAAAGGATACCAACGAGATGGCAGATAATCCTGAACGAGATGAAATGGAGATGACTTTTGCACTTGGAACTCGTGAATGCATCTAGTGGCGACTAGCAAGTAAATCATGGATGTGAAAAGCAAGAGACAGGAATAGATGGCACTTTTTAAGCTGTGGACGTAGCTACACGCTACGTGAAGGCAAGTTGTCTCAGTGTCTATGTAGGTGGCTAAAGCCAGCTGCAGTGCATATTAAACAAAAATTGAGAGTGGCATTAGTGTAGTGCATTGTACCCAACGACACACGTTTTGGACGCAACTTTGATTGATCTATTGCTGTTTCTTATGTCTACCTTGCAGAGCTGCTGAAGTCAGCGGCAAATAGCCGACGGCCTTCATTCACCTGGTCAGAACATTCAAAAGAGGTCAGCTATTTTCAAATCTGTACAACTTCTACTTTTGCTTTGTCCGTCTTCGTTGCAAAAAAAGTTTTGGGAAGAAATAGTTTTATCTTCCAGGGTAAACATTGCTTTGCTTGCAGGTCTATTTCAATGCGCTGGCCAACAACTCTGAGATTCAATCTCGGATTCAATCAAGGAGTGGATCAATTGCGAATTACAATCTGTACTGGAGAAACGCATTAGTAGAACCCGGCTACTCCCCATTAAACAAGATTGAGGATGTATAGTTTAGAATCATCGACCTTTGCCATATGGCCTGTACATAAAACACGTTTTATCACACACAAGGTAAATTTCGCTCAATTTTTTCGCCATTATATTATTTGGTTAGCGTTTTCCTTACCTGTGGTAAGCGCTACCTATAAGGTTAAAGTGACACATGAACACACCAAAGAGCTTTAACTGTCTTGTACTTAAATTCATGTACGTAATAAATATTTGTAAACAATTTCAACAAGTGAAGTAAACAAGTGAAGTTACTGATGACTCCATCTTTTTGTTCATCTGACGAGGAAAGGATAGCGAGACGCACCGAGGATCTTAAAGGCAGCGTCCAGGCAGATCCGAGCTCGACGACCACGCCCACATTCCTCGGACGGCCAACCCCTTATGAACGAAATCTCCTCAGCCTTGACGTATTTTCACATGACCAACACAGTCGAACTTACAGCGTTTACCTGTTAATACTTGCTTTCGACAAGGATAACATCAGAAGCACTCGTCCGGGTTTTCCCAAAATAGCCCCAAAAGGCGGTTTTTTGCGAAATTCACGCTTTTTGAGTTCCATATTCGGAATCAGCGCCATGGAAAGGCCTGGATAACATAAAAAAGTCGAGAATCTGCCTGGACGCTGCCTTTGAGGGAATTTACATCACTGTGCGCCTATGGGACACCGATACCATATTTGTCTTCCATATTCCGCAAACAGTCCTATCTGCAAGAAGTTAAAGACTCCTGAATCCACATTTCGCACTCTCACCTCGAAATCCTGCATGTTTTAAATTACAAAAATTATGTGTTGCTTCCGCAGTACGGGTCAATCCCAATGATGCCGATATACCTCTTTTTCCGTAGCTTCACCTTAGATTGTGAAAGCACAATCACTCGTCATCGTTCAATTAATTCAATGTTGCCAACCTCAAGGCCAGGGCGCGACACAAATTAATTCCCAAGGTTTTCAAAACAAAAATCCCTTTGACCTTTATTGGAAATCTATCGACATCTCGCTAAAGTATTCACATGTACCTCAAAGGACTGAATCTAGAGAACAGAGAAAACAAGTGCAAACTGTCGAGATTAAGACGCACAAGAGGCTAAAGGCGAAAAACAGGGGTAAGGGTAAGGCATGAGCCTTTCTTCATACCTAAACATATATTTTTACCGGGGGAATAGTCTACGATAGAAAAATCTCATGTGAACTCACAGAAATGAATGCTCCAGACATAGTTGTGATAAGGAGAGCGATGGGTCTTACCCCTCCGTTTGAGCCAGAACCAGTATAACCCTCTTCATCTAAGGCTGACTTGGGAAGTCAGTTTGAGAGTGAATCATGATCAAAAAGCTACTGGAGATTCACCATTGCTGAAACATAACAACCAAATATTTAATGAAAAAAAAGTATTTCTATCAGTTACAATGAGAATTATTACGGTAGTTGCTTTTTTTTGCACTATTGAGGGCGTCTGCAATGGACTGTAAAATAAAATTTTTTAGTTATTTAGTTTGGGAAATGAAATTAATTTAGGAATACAAATACTCAAAAAACGAACATGAAAATCGAAAAACATTTGAATTCTTTTTCGCAAGAACCTCAATGGTTGATGCCTGTTTGCTGCCTTTTTCTTCCAAGCATAGATACGTATTTTCAAACCTTAGGGTCTTCTAAAGCTTGTCATAGTTTTGAGATAGATAGACAGGTACGCCTTTGCTTGTAAGAGAAACAAAAAAGAAAGCAAGTAATAAGTAACCAAAAAAGTAAAAATCCAAAGTATAGTCTATATCTATCGTAAGTTTCTATCCAGACTGTCGATGCTCGTGAAAACTAAGAAGTCTTATTAAAGACTGCAAAAACAGCTCAATGTGATATGCAGTGATTACCGTGAATGGTAAATGATTACGTTAGTCAGATTACTTTTTTTTTTATTGAATGAAAGTGAAGTAAATGCTTTTTTTTGTCAGCTAAAGCAAATCAGCAGAAATATCGGTTGGATAAATCCCTCTATCTTACTGTTAAGAAGAGTTAGAAAAAAATCGACGGCCTATGTTGATTCTCCATAATCTCAGCTTTCCAATGGTGTATAGCTTATAAGGGCATTGAGCTTCCTGGCTCTAAAAAAATGCTTGCTCCGGTGACCCATGAAAGCCAATACATTGGAGGAGCGGGGTGGAGCAAACTAATAGTAAATATCTCCAAGCCAAGTGCATCTGCCCCACAATCTATTAGGGTGTCTCATAATTTTTTACCGTTTTTGCTACAACCGCCGTCCATTTTTGCCTTTCCTTCATCTGATGTGTCTTGAGTAATCATTCGACAGGGCAAAGCAACCTCTACAAGATGGCTATCAAAAACCTGTCCAAATAGTATCCCACGTGAAGTTTTGAGCTGAAATCTGATAGTAGTCGAAAACGAACTTTTCTGTCAAAAATCGTATCTGCGCTTCAAATCATCTAAAAAATTCCCCATTTTATGCTTGATATATCGCATATTCAATTGTGCACTTTCCGATTTTTCTACCTGGCTAGAAATAAGGAATAAAAGTGAGTGAGGTAAAATGGCAAACTCCGTCGCCAGATTGAGCTTCTCTCACGCATCTGATCATATTGCCCATACATATAGAAGTACAATCATGTATCTGTGTACTTTGTAGGTGCCTCAGTTCTTGAGAAACGGTAATGTTTAGGGTAAAAACAGTAAAAAATTATGAGACAGCCTAATATATACATCCGAAAGCTTAGGAAACAGGGATTCGACGTAGACCGTCGCCTTTGATCTAGCTCCACTCTATACCGAGAGACGCCGCATTTAATCTAAAATTATGTCCATGTTGAGAGCAGATTGCCGAACGAAGAACTAAACCGCTTAATGTTAATTTTCATTACAGAGCAAGTCTTCATCAATAAAAGGAAACCGTCGACTTTCTCGTAGCTTCATCTTGATTGCGATAAGAGAGCAGAAAGTGAACACATTAGAAGAGTAAATACGTGAGCCAGATAGAATCGCTCATATTTTCCAAAGAAGAATACCTAAGAAAAATTGACAGTGTTATTCGATTCGTCGTGACCTCAGCTTTCGAGTAATATGGGTATTGTTAGGGCACTCTGCTTTCAAAGCTCGCTTTACCCCCTTCACTTTACAAGAATGGGAGTGCGGAGACCACCTTCACCTCGGCTCTCCCTATCCTGCCTATGCCCCGGACTAATTCAACCCGCCTGGTGGCTTCCTATAGGGGACTAATCTTGAAAAAGGTTCAAGTCACATAAGTTTTCAGAAGCTTTTACATAACTTTTGTGGGTAATATGTACATATATACAGTATACTCGGATAATTCGAAAATTTTTCATCTCATGATTGAATATCGAATAAATTCGAAAAGGAAAAATTTCGAATAAACGAATATCGAATAAATTCGAAAATAAAAAATCTCGAATAAACGAATATCGAATATATTCGAGATTTGAAAATTCTCGAATGAATGAATTCCGAATGAATTCGGAAAATCAAAAATATCGAATGAATGAGTATCGAATATATTCGAACATTGGAAGTCGAATTTCGAATAATATTCGAATGATTTGTCGAATAACTAGAGCAACCATATCTCAAAGTTGTCGACATATCTTCCTGAAGCCGATCCATTCATAATCAGTACCCTCTTATCGTCGATTCGTTGGCCGTACGGACTGCTCAACCGTTGCGGACCACGCGCGGCGCGGTTAAAATGTTGCGAGAGCACGATTTCAACAACAGCGACTTTGTATTGGAGCAAGCATTTTACCTCGCGGCCGTGCTCTGCGGTTATGTCCAGTCCGTACAGTCAACGAATCGACGATACTTTCCAAAAATAGCTGAAATCGATAAAATAGATTTCAGTTTTAATCAGCATCCTCGTTTACCCCTGTACCAACTCCCAACCTCGTAGCTCAAGATATTCCAAAATCGACAAAATCGATAAAGTAAATTTTTATTTTTAATTGGCACCCTCACTTACTCCCTTGTATCAACAAAAATCGATAAAATCGATAAGGTATATTCTTATCCGTAATCAGCACCCTCGCTTACCCCCTTGTACCAACTCCCAGCCCCGCAGCTAAAACTTCTCCAAAAATCGATAAAATCGATAGAGTAAATTTTTATCCATAATCAGCACCCTAACCTACCCTTTTGCATCAACTCCCAGCCCCGTAGCTCAAACTTCTCCAAAAATCGATAAAGTAAGTTTTTATCCATAATCAGCACCCTCTCCCCCTTGTGTGGTATAAGCTAGTCGTGGACGAGGGCATGTGGTTTATTCCGCGAAGCGAGCACGAATGCCCCTATGGCCCCGGGCATACTGCAGGCATTTCGGTGGCGACATGGTTTGGCAATAGTCAAATTGTCCAAAACTTATTCTAAAAATACAGAATGCAGGGCATTTATCTTTTTGGTAAGTTGTACACCTAAACATCTGTGGTAAGTTGGCGTTACATTTGGAGACAACTCGTAACTGGCAAATCGCGTACGGCGATTTAAACCGTCTAATTCTCCACTACAATTGCGATGTCCTTTACTCAAAATACACCAATTCGCAAGAAATCTCTAAGGTATATAAGGCATTTCGAAACACTTTCAATGTATGAACTCGGAACATGAGCTTGACTTTGATAGCTTCTTTGCTGATTTGGTGCCAATAGCAGTGCGAACAATCTCATTGATCGAAAAACATACCCTCGATACATAGAGCCACATACTCTGGTAACCTTCACTTTGAGGGCTATGAGGGGACACAACCTTCACCTGGGAAAAAAACAGAAGTTATCCGGGGCGAAGCCCCGGATGTTATGATCCTGACTTCGGAAGAATCTGAATGAACCAAATATAGGAAAGAATGTTTGAAGAATGTCTCAGCGAAACCGAGAAATTGCTTTTTTAAAGCCTTTTTTACGCTGAAAAGAAAATTTCTGTGAAAATTTCCTCAGAATTCAGGACAAGGTTCCTCATTTAGCCTCCCACTTGACCAAAAATGAGTTTCAAAAGTTTGGAAAGCTGTTGGAGTTGAATTAAAATGAGAAACTGCGCTTAATTGTGCACAGAGAGTCGCGCACGAAAATGCTGGTCTATCTCGTTAGTAAGTGACTTTTAAAGCTTGGGACGTTGTCAGCTCTCCTCGTCGTGTCATGACGGTCAGAATGATATATAATGTTACAGGGTTTCTTTGAGACCCCGCGGAGATCTACGACCAG